CAACGTGGCTCTCACTATACATTTTTAAGGACAAGCGTCACAAGTGTATCATCCGCACAAAACAATGTTACTCGTACATAATTAGAGCCATTTTAATACTCTATTTATGTTTCATTTTAATCTTTACATTTTTTTCTTTTTGAAACGTCTCATTTAAATCGTCTCATTTAAATCTTTATTTTTCCATTTTAGACAAATCCTTGGACATCAATGTTCTAATCATCTTTCACTACCCACTCACTTTTTACATTTGATTGGATAACATTAATCACCCAAATTGTCAAAGGGGATGATAAACATTTAATTAATTGGTCTCTTAAACCACTGTGCCAAAACAAACATCAAGATATCATCGGTACGGACGGAGCAACTTCATTTATGTTTTATCGATCATATCCACAACTTTTGATTAAAAATGAATTACGCAGTATATAATACGTAGTAATAATTAAAAGTAAGTTTAGTGTTACTTTATTGTTTGATTTTGTTGAATGTGACTATTTTACCTTTTCCAATATTTTTTCTGTATTTTATTGTTTGAATGTAGTTCAACCAATCTAACTTTTATGTCAAAACTTCCCATAAGACCATTTGTAGTGGTCAAGAGTCCAAATTGTCAAATTTGGACTCCGTCCATATGAAAACAGTGTTTAGACTCCGTCAATACTGTTTTTCTCTGCATCCGTGCACCGTCAATAAAATACACTATGCATATTTTTACATATCAATTTAGTAAAAAATTATTATAAATAATGTTTTACTTTTAATTTTATCCCTGAATAGTTATGAAATAAAAATATACGCATTTCGATGTAAAAACACGTAATTTTTATTAAACTTTTTTAACGTTTTTCGGTTAACAAAATGAATTAGTTTAAGTAAAGTTCGATTATGAAATATTAAATTATTTGTGAAGTCTTCATGAATTAAAAAATTGTGTTTTGTTATTTTTTAGCTAAAGAAAACTCCAACAGTTAAAACTTAAAAAAAATCATTTGGATGTCATATAAAAGATTATAAAAATTCATGAATTTTGATATACTTTTTGAAAATTTCGGAGAACAAATAAATACTACCTCCGTCTCCGTAAGTTTGGGACAAGAGAAGGTGACACTGTTATTAATAAAAGTGGGTTTATGTGGTTGATATTGAATTGATAAAGTAAGAATAAAGTAACAATGATTTAGAACCACACAAATTTTATGTATGAGACAATCTTAGTGGGACGAACTGAAAAGGTAAAATGAGACAATCATAGCGGGACGGAGGGAGTAAGTTATAAGTGTTTAAAACAATTTGGGATTATGATGACATCTGCGTGAGATCATTATGACGTCAGCTCAACCATAGCAACGTCTTGGAGCCTGCCGCAACTTTTTTTCTTTTCTTTTTCACTTTTTTTGTCCTGTCAATCCAACCCTCTATTTTTACACTCCTCCACTCCCTTCCCACTTTTACTCCCCTTTTAATCCATCACTACACCTAATTAGGAGTCTAAAAGTTCCATTTTTAATCTTTTTAACTCCTAGTCGTTAACCACTACAAATGGTCTAACATTTAAGCCAACTCAATTTCAATACTACGACTCTACCTTTTATCAATATGTGTTCTCCAAAACTCTACACAAATACGGAGTATGCAACAGACTGTTGTTCGGGTTGATAAAATGAACGTGGACTCGTGCACAATTGAGAGATTATAAAGCTCGTCGCTCCTTAAAATAAATACACCAACCAGATAACTTTCAGACAGGATTTACATATCCAATCGTGAATCCTATGAGTAAATTTAGAGTCAGCCACCTCATACAAAACAACATGACTTGCTAATATATACCAGACAAATTTAGGCTTAAAATGATCAGAACCGAAACCCTGTCTATCAAAAGAACTCCAAAAGTCCAAACATTCAAATCAAATCTACTCGGATTAAAACAAAAACAAGTGCTACTAAAGAGAAAATAATACTGAAATAAAATGTTATTCACAAAACTCTTCCTAGTATGGAGATGGTTACGGAGGAGGACGTGCTCTTACAATATGGGCGAATACCAACTCCACCACCGTCGGAATAGCCTACAAATGCTTCACGATTCTGCCTCGATACAACCTCCCGGTCACACCTAATTCATCCACCAACGTTATCTCCTCCAACGTACTTTCAATTTCAAATATTAGAACACATAAAATCAGTATAATCTTTCTCTCCAACCCCACATTGATAGAGGCGGCAAAAAGTTTCAATCCCTATAAAGAAAGGAGACGGCTGCTAGGGTTCTTCTTTCTCTACATAGAAGAGAGAACCGTAAAAAAAGAGTAACCAAGTTCCATGGCTCAAGTATTTAAAAAGGGAGAATGACACGAAGTCACGAATATCATTTTTGCTAAGCCAATACAATGAGTTTTAATCTTAAAATGTAACTAAAATAACATCCATTCACCAAAATGTGACTACATGCACTTTAATAGTCTCTAGGATGTAATATTTAAATACATAACTATAATCATTCAAAATTATCAAGTTTGTTGAGGTTTAATCCCGTAGATCCGAAAGCCCAACACACGCCTTGGATGTTAAGGATGTAGGTTTGGGTCTAAAAGGTGTATAAGATATAAAACAGTGGATTAAGAATGAACTCAGAAGCTAAACTTGCATCAAGTAATTCTGCGATTACACTGAACTACCCGAACGGTACGTCAGAGTAGGATCTAATACAAGAATGAGAGAGATAACTCTATTGCTAAGCTCTGAGTCCCAAAATGCTAACTCCTTACAACGTATTCAATGCATGTATTTATACTAAGAGAGGGGTAGGTGGGATTGTGATGTGGCCGAACTCGGTTGGCTGCTGCCCCTGCCGCCTTCGTACCCATACCTCCACTTGCTACCGCGATACTTCAACATTAAATGCGGTTGCCACTTGCTGATCTCCCAGTCGGGTACCCCGTTCGGGGTGCGGGATGCCTTTGTGGGTGTTTTGATGCCAGTATCCTGTTAATCAATTCAAGTGGATAATCCGACCCGAATGCTGATCAGGTATCTTCCGTTCGGGATGCCTTGGACCTCTCCGACTGCGTTGGGCCCCCTGCTTCCTCTGGGCCTTTCTTATGCCTTTCTTATGCTTTGGGCCGGTATGTTGGGCTTCGGCCCAATACCCCAACAAAGTTGCATTTTTGTTCATCAATATATTTTCATATTTTGATACTGGATACTATATTTGGAGTTAATTGATACATATTATGTTATTAAAAATAAACTTTATTGCTACACACTGTTGTACGATTTCACAAAACAATATAAATACTCCGTTTTTTACATTTCCCAACTAATTACTCCCTTATCTCCCCTTTATCATTGTGGCATTCCTCCCCTCAGCTCCCCTCAAGCTTCATCCTCCTCCTCGTTTCTATCCTTGAATACAATTCCTCTTCTTTCCTCTCCTCTGTTGGCACCCTTCCTATACTAACATTTCTTTCCCTGTTCTATTTTTCCGAATCTTAAAAATCTGTTCAAATCACAATTATTTATCACATTATAAATTCGGATTGCTATAGACAATAACAACTATTGTTTTTATGTGAAATTTTTATTTAAAATTCGATATTTTGCTTAATTAAAATAAAAACTACAGGCATACAACACTACCCACACAGACAACCATTACTTGTTCACGCACCGATTTACACATCACCAAACATTGACTTGTGTCTGGGTCAATGTAGTTTTGACTTTTGACAAGACAATTAATGTTTGGATAAAGACACTAGTTTACAATACATGAATTTAAGTTTCCATGTAATACAATTCAAATTTATATAAAAAAAAGTGTAAGCTTTCATATATCAAAACATATTTAACAGAAAACAACACACTCCCTTCGTCCCACTAACAATGGGACAAGAGGGAGTCACACGCAAATTTATAAAAATTGGTTTATGTGGTTGATATTGAATTGATAAAGTAAGAATAAAGTAAGAATGATTTAGAGCCACACAAACTTTACCAAATAAGGTATGCGTCAATCTTAGTGAGACAGACCGAAAAGGTAAAATGGGACAATCTTAGCGGGACGGAAGTAACATTTAACAAAAAAACAGTAATGGTACATGTGTGTGTAACTTTAATGCATACAAATGTGTAGTTAACATGATCTGAACATTGATTTGTTTATTGATCTTTTGATGATGATTACAGACACAAATATTTCTTTTAAAAAGTAAAATAAAAAACACATTCATGTCAGTTAGGGTCTGTTTGCAACAGCTTCTGCTTTTAAAAAAGTGCTTTTTTCAATGAAATGAGGAGAAATGATTATATAAAAGTTGATAGTGTTTGAGAAAAAAGTGATTTTGAAAAGTAAAAGTGGGTAGTGTTTGGTAAAATAAGTGCTTTTTGTGTAATAGAAAAAGTAAAAGCACTTTTGACGCGGAAGCCGAGAAAAATAAAAGTTTTAGTGTTTGGGAAAATAAGTGTTTTTTTAAAGCCAAAATTTGAGAAGTGCTTTTTTAAAAGTAATTGCAAACCAACCCTTAGAAGTTAGAACAAGATGTTTCTGGTTCTTGATAGACATATAATTTGTCCAAGTAGAAGAAAGTTTTTCAGGTCTTATTAACGTTGATGACATGGACTCATCATACGGTATTGTACTAACAACCAAATGTCGCGATACCAATTAATTCCAAACCTTAAACCAGATCATTCTAAGAGTCTGTTTGCAACAGCTTCTGCGTAAAAAAAAATGTTTTTTTAATGAAATGAGAAAAAGTGATTAAATAAAAGTTAATAGTATTTGAGAAAAAGTGATTTTGAAAAAAGTGATTTGATAAAATAAGTGCCTTTTGTGTCATAAAAAAAGTAAAACTGTAAAAGCACATTTGACACGAAAGCCGAGAAAAATAAAAGTTAATAGTGTTTGGTAAAATAAGTGCTTTTTTAAGACAAAAGCTAAGAAGTACTTTATTTTTAAAACATTTGCAAACCAACCCTAAATCCATTTAAACCACCAATTCAAAGTGTATTTTTATCAAGCACAATTCTCATATTTGGGAAAATAGTCACCATTTAGTCACGTCTAAAACTCTAAATAGAATAAGAATATACCAAAAGAACAAGCCATACTGAATGAACAAACATTAATTAGGTTAATAACCATTCTATCTCATTATGGAAGCCTAGACAACATTTTGTTACATGCATATGGGGGCGATCATGATACTTCAGAAAGATTATCCACATTTTTTCTTCTTGCTCCCCCATAAAAAACCCTCCATTCCAAATGCTGCAACCTTTCTCTGATCTGATTACTAATTGAGGCCTTGCACAAAACTTTTGAAAAGAAGACAATTCTATTGGCAATGTTGAGAATGATCAGAATCATTTTCTATGATTTAAACCAAGTCAAGGAATACAACAAGCAGAGAAAAAACTACATTGAGTAGTGTGTGACTCAGTTGGGAGGTATAGCTAGTGCCAGTACCAAAACAAACACTACAACTCAAAAGATGATTGATACATATACCAACAACAACAACGATAAAAGCCGCCAAAATGACTATCTGACTACCACACTTGCCATTAACAGTAAAAAATCGACTGTCACAAAAATGGGTAATTCTCCTCTGTGTGACACCCTAAGGGAAAGAATTGTAGGAAATAGGGAAACAAAATTTTGAATGATGATGCTGATGAGTAGTACACTGCTCTAAACTAAAGTACCAGAGCAACCTTCTCCTGTGAAAATGGTGAAGGGTGAGCAATTAGGGGTTCATAATGGTCGCCTCCAGCTCCACACCATCCTGCAAACAAAAAAGATTACACTGAGTGCCTATTTCCTACTTAAGCTGGTCCAAAAGAGTCGGGTATGATCCATCTGTGAGATTATTGAAGATTATTTGAGTACAGGTTTTGTTGTTTTTTAAAACAAAAGTTTCCTTGACACCCATTTTGGACTAGTACATGAATTTATAGCCAAAAACAAATAAACAAATGACATGACAAATATATATTACTATACTGTACTTGTGAATCAAATTACCTGTTCCTTTCATGAAAAGAAAGAAAGGAGGTTCACATATTTCACTTCTAGGACGGTGTGGGAGGAAGAAAACACAGTTATCTTCATCAACCATTGCATCAGATCCGTGAGCTTGAACCTAAAAACATATGAAAATAATGATATGAATTGGTGTAATAAATCTTATGCAGAAATTGCTGCAAATGGGAGTAAAGCTTAGGTCAAGTGCACGAATAGCAGAATTATTGTCTTAAGCTGCAAATTATAAGGCATTCAGATTTTAAAAAGAGAATAAAATTAGTAATTCTTCTATCAGGGGAGAATGAGCTACATTTACAAGAAAAACAATGATGGCCCTACTTAGTAAGTCTTGTATATTGAATTTACTCTAATTTATGTTCGGCAGTACATGTCATTACCATTAATCAGTGCAATTTCTAAATATTCATAATCAAATAATTTAGTGTGAGAAAAAACTAACTACACAATTTTCATCATTTTGATTTTCCTGTTTTAATCGCTGGTTTTATAAAAGAAATCAAAATATCATTCAAAACAGAAAAATAAAATGGAAATGAGAAATGATTAGTAATGCTTATGAAAAGGCAATATAATGGCTATCTTTCTCACCACAAAAATCTCGCGTTTAAACTCAGTAGCAAGACACTCAATAGCAATGTCATCACCAAAAGCCGCAGCATGACCATATCTGTTCTCGTCTACAGTTAACAATCCCTCCTCTGTATATTGCAAGTTGATGATATTGTATTCATCTTCAGGGGAACCAGAGATTAACATATACTTTGCCCAACTTGGTCCATCATCCACATATATACATCTCTCTTTGTAAATCGACTCGGCAGCCAATTCCCTTCAATGTCAATCACAAAATCAAGTCAAAATCAATACACCAACCCAAATCCATCCATATGCACAATAAAAGCCATCGAATACCAGAAAGTCCAGGTTTTGAAACAAAGATTTGCAGATTTTCAAGAAAGTTCAGGTTTTGAAACAATGATTCGCAGATTTTCAAGAAAGTTCAGATTTTCAATGATGGGTAAACATCCAGATTCGCAGGCAAAGATGAAAGCTCTATCATTTCACATTTCTAATTCAGGGGCCAAGTTATTCATGCCCATCAAAATTTGTCAGATCTATCTAAATATCAACCAGATATATAGATTCCGAGCTGCAAACGATGAACAAGGAAAGTCTTCTCTTGCTGGCACATTGCTCTAAGTTATTGACATTTCTCCGGGACACAGAGACCAAGATTTTGATATAGGAAAAGAAAACCATTTCACCAGATCTGAGATTTCATGAAATTTACCTCTGCATTCCGAGCTGAACGAGCTCATTTATGGCCGAGTCCAGAGCTTCCCGGTCTTCTTTCTTGGCTAATAGTTTCAGCTCTTGGACAACGTGAATACCCCAACCGGCATTTAGATCTGGAGAGTACATATGTTTAATCGCCGCCTCAATCATTCCCCTCTCCTCAACGCCCGCCGATCCGAAATCCTCCATGAACCGTAGCACGGCCCGGCGCCTCAGATCTCTTGCGGTAGAGGCCGCCGGAAGACCCATGGCCTTTATCGACGCCGTGAAGAGGCAGTTCCCGTCCGACTGCACCTCGCCGCCGTGGCCGAGCCGGAACACCACGGACGTGCTCGGGTCCTTGGGGTGCTTCCAAAGCACGCCCTTGGCCTGGATCTTGGCCAGGCTCTTCCTCTGCTGGTCCTCCAGCCCGGAGACATTTTCCCACGGCGTGGCGGAGACGGCGCTGGCGGCCGCCGCCGACATCTGGTCAACGAGATCGATGGAGTCGAGGTTGGAAGGGGTGGAGGTGGGGTCCCTCCATGGAATCACCGGCGACGACGCCGTCGAATCACAGATAAGTTTCCCCATTTCCCGGAGATTCAAAGAATCTTCAAAATAATCCTCGTTGGTGAAAAAAATAAAAAAATAAAAACAATAATTATACGAAAAGTTGTGTGATAGCCTTCTTTCCTCTTCTCTCCTTCAATGGAAATCGAACCGTTACAGAGAGAGAGGAGAGAAGGGTAGGTGTGGAAGGGAGTGAGCGAGTTTAGGGTTAACGGATAGATTTGGCTTAGAAGGAAGAAGAGGACACGTGGGCAAATCGGTACATTTAACCTGGCGTTATGACGGTGGGCCATGCCAGCGCATCAATCGGCAAATGGGGATTGCTTGTCAATGTGTGATTGGTTACGGATTGTAACGTTTTGAAATGACCATTTTTCTTTCCGTTTGTGCCCGATTTACCTTACACTGCTGTTTTACGGTGGATGAAGGGGAAAAGTCTATTGCTCGCTAGATCAATTTACATTTACTATTTACTCCCTCGTCCTATTGGAATGTTCCCGCTTTCCTTTTATGGATGCCCCAAAAAGATATTCGCATTTCCCTAGATGGAAAGTTATCCTACATCAAAACAGTGCAAAACAGTGTCAAACAATGTCCAAACAGTAAAATTTACCCTCTGATAGGTTTATTTCATTAATATGCGTGTAGGTCAAATCGGAAGCATCCCAACGGAACGGAGGGAGTACTATTTACCATACTCGTTTTCTCCCCAAATGTCAACATAGCAACATGGAAGAGCATAACAACAAAAAGACAATGTGATAGTTCAACTTTGACTTGTAACCGAATAAGAGCATACTTTCCTTTTTATTTGACAAAGTTATTCAGTAAATGTGGGCTATATGCTTGGAAAAATTAAAAGATAATAACTAAAACTAATATTTTCTCCATCCACATATCACAATTAAAGTCTCAGTTTAATTTTACGCTCTCCCGAGAAGACATTTGACATTGAATACCTATAAATATATACCTTTATAATCTATAATCAATTGACATTTGAATAATACACATTATAGTGAAGCACATTAAATAAATATTTTGTAATAAAATACTTTTAATTTTGAACCATTAATGGTCAAAGTTTAATAAGTTTGACTCAAAAGTTGAACAGAGACTTGAATTGAGAGACGAAAGTAGTATAAATAATGATGATGAATACGTGATTAAGATGAGAAGTTACCGTGCCTAGTGAGAGGTCTCGAGTTCCAAACTAGCTAGACACATAAGGATTTGAAACTTAGGGGGGTGTATTCAATATGGATTGTTGTGGACTTTTTTTAATCCATGGACTTTTAAAAAAGTCAATGGACTTTTAAATCCATAGACTTTTTTATGAATGAATTCTATAGATTTTTAAATCCATGGATAAGTTTATTGACTTTCAAAAAGTCCATAGACTTTTAAATGCGGACCGCCACTGTTGGTCGTCAAAATTTTCACCTAGATTGTCGCTACCGATATGCCTGTGACCTGTCCGCATCCATCACCGGAGTTCCCCGCTGTCACCAACAAAATGGCTTTGGTTGTGAAAGGGAACTAGGGACAATTAATTATATTAATTAATTATTTAAATTAGGGGTGAATATGTAATATTTATTCCCATTTAAGAAAAATCAAACATTTAATCATACTTTAAGAATAATGCTATGTTTTAGTCCTACCGTGAGTGATTTCCTCTATATAATACGGAGTACAATAAGAAATAAATAAGTAAGTAAGTAAGTAAGTAAGTAAGTAAGTAAGTAAGTAAGTAAGTAAGTAAGTAAGTAAGTAAGTAACTAAATAAATAAATAAATAAATAAATAAATAAATAAATAAATAAATAAATAAATAAATAAATAAATAAATGTAATTCATATAGCAACACAAAGTTCTACAAAAATAAATGAAGCATAAGAATTCAAATTTATTTTTATTAAAAAAAACTCAAAGTTTCAAGAATGCTCGAGAATTTTGGCCATTTTATTAATGATTAAGAAAATTAATCGTTACACAAGCATTACACTCATTGCTACATGTGGTACAAGCATAAATGCAATCGAGCTTTTCTACTTAGTGATTGTTTTCTTTTAACTTTTATCTTGTAAAAACTTGTATATGTATTTATGGTTATATATTTATTAATTTGAAATTATATTTCTATGTGTTAAGCGATTTAACGATGAAAGAAAGTGATAGTTAAAATATTTATTTTCTTAATGGTTAACTGATGACGTATCAGAATTACATTGATGTAATACTATCGATTCTTATATCGGTTCTTCTATAAACTTCTAGAATCGAATCAACATAGGATTACTGAATCGAGGGGGTGGACTGGGGACGACAAGCTAAAGAAGAAGAAGAAGAAGAAGAATGGAAGGAGAGGGGTGGGCGAGCTGGGTTAAAGAAGAAAAAGAAGAAAGATTGAAGAGGAAGGTGTGGCTTGGCTAAAGAAGAGTAGAGTTGGGGGAGGGGGGAGTAGGCTTGGCCCGAGGCCGGTCTGACTGGCCCGGGACCCGGCCCGGCCCGCCACTGTACGGGTCCGACCCGGCCCGTTGGATCGGTACCGGTACCGGGCCTAGGCCCGACCCGGGGTGATTAATTGGAGCGGTTCCGGAACTGCATATTTGAGGACCAGCCCGGCCGGTTCGGGCCCGGTCCAGGCCTTATTTGTTTTTTTTTTTTTGGAGGGGGGGGTTGGGCCTATGGTAGGTAGGCTGGGTGTTTTGGAGGGGTTTGGGGGGGGGGTGAGGGTTGGAATATATAAGAAAACCGAAAAAAAAAATGAACCAGCCCGGCCCAACCCAGAACTGGCCCGGCCCGATACCAGTAGACTCCCGGGCTGGTCCTGGGCCTTACCCAAAAAATTCCAAGCCCGGTCGGGCCCGACTGGGAACAGAAACCGGGTCTGGCCCGGTCCATCCCTAGGAGGGAGGGGAGGAATGGGATGGGACGGGATGAAGAACCGATATAAGAAAAGTCCACGGAAATCTTTGGTGAGGAGAAGAGACAATTGCAGAGAATTTTTGCACTAAAAATGAGTTAAAAGTCCACGAAAATCCATGATTTTAGAAGTCAATAAGAATGAACGGAAATTTGAATACGCCTAGACTTTTATAGACTTTTAAAAGTCCACATTGAATACACCTAGACTTCTGTGGACTTTTAAAAGTCCACATTGAATACACCTAAACTTTTAAAATCCATGGACTTTTAAAATTTTGCCACTAAATCCTAATACAATACACCCCCCTTAATGGAGTGAGTTTTATCCCTGATTACTCCAGTCCCCAACTCCTTTCCCAGACCCCCTTAGAGTAAAAAGAAAATATGTGACTAAGATGAAATGTAGTAGATAAAGAAAAGACTTTTTATGTTTTAGTGATGGTGATAGTAAGTTTTGTGATTTGGATTATGCTCAATTTTATAGTATGGCATATCAAGCAATGCTTATATTAAGTGCAATCAATTTTTTCGTGTGATTTTTAAAAACTTAACTTATCAATGACTATCTGACGACGTATGTACTTATAAATCTCTGGAAAATACTTTTAGTCCCGAAGATCGGAAAACCCAACACACGCTTTGGATATTTTAGGACGTTGTATTGGTTTGGAAAGTGTATAAAATATAAAATAGTGAAATATTACTCAACTCAGGAGCTAACTTGTATTCAGTAATGTTGTGATTACATTGGACTACCCGAACGGTAGGTAAGTACAAGAATACAAGAATAAGAGAGATAATTCTATTTGCTAAGCTCTGAGTATGAAAATGCTAACTCTTTACAATGTTCTTAATGCAGGTATTTATACTAAAATGGGGATGAGTAAGCTGGACACGTGGCTGAATCCGGTAGGCTGTGACCTTCTGCCACGTATGCATCCATGCCTCCACTTGCTGCTGCCATGCTCTAGCATTAAATGCGGCTTCCACTTGCTGACCACTCGTTCGGGTGGAACGTTTGGTGTGCGGGACCCCGCCATTGGTGTTTCAGGTGTAAGTGTTTCCTGAAATACTCCAAGTAGGAGAACTGTGCTGAACGCCGATTGGGAGGTCTGGATTCCTTTGGGCCTTATGTTTCCCCCTGGCTTCCTCAAACTTTGGGCCGAGGGTATTGGGCCTGGGCCCAATATCCCAACAACGCCCTATATGTAAACTTAAAAAATGTTGAGGCAAGTATTTTATTCGACACAACATAATAAAATTATAAACTTGCCCACTATGCTCGAGAATTTACACTGTGATAGTCTGATAGAGTGATAGGGGTGTAAATTAGTCAAGTCGCTCGCGAGTTGCTCATGGATTGTTCAAGAAAAACTCGAATCGAGTTCGGCTCTACTTGAATTGTTAACAAGCTCGATCCAAGTCTATTTATTTTAGCCTCGTGGCACATGATCGAGCCGATTCGTGAGCCTTTGTGTCATAATTATATACTCCCTCCGTCCCTGGAACAACTTCACACTTCCCTTATTTGGATGTCCCTAATTTAACTTCACATTTCCTTAAATCACAAGTAATCTACATCAAAACAGTGTCAAACAGTGCAAAACAGTGTCTAATTGTGTCGAAATAGTGTCAAAACAGTAAAATTTACCCTTGATGAGTTTATTTCCTTGATATGTGTGTAAGTAAAACCAGGAAGTTGTTTCGGGGATGGAGAGGGTATATAATATTTTGGTATATATATATATATATATATATATATATATATATATATATATATATATATATTCTAATTTAGGACTATTTCATTTTCAATACTTATCACATAGTATACTATAATAGTAATAATTACAAAAATAATAACATTTTCGTAGCATTATTATTATAAGGGAAAACTATCAAATAAGCTCCTTAACTTTTCAAAAAAATCAATTAGGCCATCCAACTAAAAATCCGATCAATCAAACCCTCGAACCATTGAAAAATAGCCAAATCCTCTTTTTAACATGTAGTCTTCCGGTTCCCGGTTAGACTGCCTACGTGGCATTTTCTTTTCTTCTTATTTTTCTTTCCTTTCTCCTCTTCCCTGCGCCTCTCTTCTTCTCGATCTGCTATTCAACACCTGCAAATTTCTTCTTTCTTTCCTATTTCTCTTCTCCTTCCTAGTTCTCTGCTCGTTTTTCCTGGCCTCACATCACCCTCCTCGCTCATGTATGCTTCCTCCGCCTATTCCTCTTCTTTGGCGCCGAGGCGCCGACTAGGGTCTATAGCTGGATTGAAGCTACGAAGCAGTCCGAAGGAGGAGCCCATGAGTGCTGGTACTGACGGACAAGACCTCTGCAACCTACAAAGTAGAAGGAGCCTTCAGCCGGAGTTGTTGAACGACGCGAGAAGCTAAGGAACGACCTGACATGGTCGCTACCTCCCGGCGAGATTCTCTGGATGGCTCCCAGAGTTATAAACCGGCAGATGGGGTGAAGAATATAAGACTCTTCTTAAATGGGAAGGGAGCTAATAATTGTTGGTAGGGTGGGAGAAGAAAGAGGAAGTGGAACAAAGAAGATGGAAGAAGGGGGTTTACTGGAACTGTGGAACGGGAAGGATCTGAGGAAGGTGAAGGAGAAAAGTAAAAAGAAAGAAAAAAAGAAAAAGAATAAAGAAGAAGAATGAAAAAAATTGAAAAATGAAAAGTGCCAGTGTGTTGACGGAAATGTATACCATACAGCCGGCTGTACGGCTGGCACCGTACAGCCGGTGGCATTTTTTGTAAATTTGATGAACTTCATGATTTCTCTTACTATGAGCATTGATGTAAGTTGGATGAGCATTGAGTTTGTTCTTCTGAGTATTAGGAGTCCAACAATGAGCACCAGTGATCTCTGCTTCATATCTTCTAATTCAGTTTCTTTTTATTAATTTTTGTTTATAAAAAATTCTTAAATTGTGTTTATAATTAATTTCAATATGTCAATCTAATGTAGTATGATATGTTTGATATGTGCATCATTTTAAAATGAGCATAAACCAGTACCAAATGAGCATACATAATTTACAAAATGAGTATAAAAAAATCAAAACATCATTTGTGTATGCTCATTGATTTTGGGCGTTATATTTGATATGAGCATCATTTTAAATTGAGCATAAAGCAGTGCCAAATGAACATACATAATTTACAAAATGAGTATCCAAAAATTCAAAAGCTCATTTGTGTATGCTCATTGATTTCGGGCGTTATATTTGATATTTGAATCATTTTAAATGAGCATAAAATATTACCAAATGAGCATACATAATTTACAGAATGAGTATCAAAAAATTCAAAAGCTTATTTGTGTATGTTCATTGATTTTGGACGTAATACTCATTTAAGTTTAACAAAAAAAACACATTTTTAATGTGTTTAATATTCAGTTGTGTATGTTTATTTATTTGAGGCGTATACTCATCTGAGTTTAATATAAAACTCATTTTTAATGTGCTTAATGTTCAGTTGTGTATGTCCATTTCTTTTATGTGTATACTCATTTGAGTTTAATATAAAACTCATTTGAGATGAATAGCAGCACGGATTCCTTTGTCTGCAGCAGGCTCCCTTTGTCTTCCAAAATCACAATCTCAAACACCAAAATTGAATAAGAAAAAGAGAAAACAAGAAAAGAGTGAAAAGAAAGACATAAGGAGGATCTGTTGTGTCCGTTTTGGAGGAGAATGAGATGAGCGGTGAGAGGCAACGACGAGCAACGACCTGGAAGAGAAAGAGACGAGTGGTGAGTGTATAATCAACCAGGTGCGAAGCCAGATCAAAGAACCAGACGAGATCTGAAGTTGGTGCGAAGTTGGGTGCGAAGTCGAGGAAGAAGGCCAGAGCTGTGAAGTCGAGGAAGAAGGCCAGAGTGAGATCGATCGAAAAAGAAGCGCAGAGCCAAAAAAGGGCTGACTGTACCATGCGCACGGTACAGCTGGCTGTACGGTGTATTTTACCGTGTGTTGACTGTGTTCGTACAAAATAACCGGGCAATTTGTTCATTGCCGGTAAAAATGACGATTTGCTATTTTTAATTGAGTTTAAGGGTTTCATTGATTGAATTTTTAGTAGATGGGTTTAATTGATTTTTTTGATAAGGTGGGGGGCTTATTTGATAGTTTTCCCTTATTATAACCATCATTTCTAATAATTTTAATATGTACTCATAATATTTATTGATAGTAAAATAAAGAATAAAAATGTGTGTAAAAGAGAGATAAACTTAAAATGAGAATGAATAATTAAATACACGTTTTATATTTTTAGCTTGAGTTCGAGCATCTTATTCGAGTTCAAACCTATAAAAATTAATTAGTGAAACTTGACCCGAGCTCGAACCCGAATTGGTTAACTTGTCCAAGTTCGAGATCGAGATCGAGCTCATGAATTCTTATCAAGCTCAAGCTCAAACATATCCATGTCCGGGTTCGGCTTGGCTCGTTTGCACCTCTAATTATGAAACCTAATTTAATTGGATAAACACAACAAAGTTATACTCCGTACTACGTTCTTTTGCACCTCTAATTGTGAAACATAATTTAATTGGATAAACATAACAAAGTTATACTACGTATATCATAGATAATTAAATTACATGCCTACAAATAACTACACAATTACGTAATAAATTTAAAATTGTGAAAAGTGAACTTGTTTTTTGTGCCGTTTGTAATGAATTGAAATTTTTCATGGAGAAAGGCGTTACTTTTTTACATATCTTTATACTCCCCCGTCTACCAGAAAAGTTCCTCATTGCTTTTCACACATATTTGGACACTGTTTGACATTGTTTTGATATAGATAATTTGCCAAATAAGGAAAGGGGAACTTCATTCAGAGACTACCCAAAAAGGAAACGGGGAAGTTGCTTCAGGGACGGAGGGAGTACCATCTAGTTAGCCTATATTTATTACTACATACGTTATTTATTTACTTTATTTAATTAGATGGACGAGCATACCCAAGTTCCAAGTTAAAACTCCCCGAAAGGTATATAAAACTTTTTAAAGCCAATCATGCGGTAGGGTGAAAAAAAGCCTATGCAATATACGGAGTAGTTAAGGATAGATAGTACGTTTTTTTTAAAAAAAAGGGTGCCCTTAGCCTTCCATATCATTCGTGCTTAGGCCTATGCCAAGATTCACTATGGCCAAAAGCCAATTCTGCCTATTTAGACTTGTAAGAGCACATTAGTGAAAAGTTACTTTTAATGAGAGCATTTTTAGGATGCAAATCATAATAATTTTTTCATTTGATTACATAATTAGAGATTATGAGGTTTTGTTAAACTAGAGTACTACTCTGTGATAAATAAGAAAGAAAGACAACTACTCTATAATATTAAGAGTCTCCACTTGAAATTGCTTTTATCTCACACTATACCAAAGCACATGAAACTTAAAAGATTCTGATAATACTTAAAAATCATACTCTTTCATATATATGTTCATTTTGTGGAAGTTTATTACTCCGTAATACATGCCGCACCTTCTTTCTTAACAATAATCATTACATTAAAAGACAAGTTATACCAACTTTTTGTCTTACATTTCCTACATTTTTGCTTTCCCTTTCACTTTTTTCTTCAAAACCAACTATCCCAATAATATCACCTTTAGATCTCGTAAAAAAACCACAAGGGTAACTCAATGTTGATGCATGGATCATTGTTTTACTTTTGTGCACACTCCCGCGCTCTCATAACACCTCCTTTATCCTTCACTCTCAGAAAGCTTAAACAATACTAAGCTAGTCCATTAAAGTCTGTAGCATAACAATTTCATTTATGCTAAGGCGTTGACTATCTTCATTGTATATGCTCATCTTCTTCAATCATCACTTTGTGAGTTTGGGTGCATTTTGACCTCTATTTTGCCAGAATGGAATTACAAAAATTACATGAGAGAGCAAGCATTGGGATTTTCATCACTGAAGAGTTGAGGAGCATGGAGAAGTTCAGGTGTATAGCCTTTGTAGCCTCCACTATTCTTTTCCTTTTTATTATTATCTCTTTCTCCTTGATCTTTTTCATTCTTGTTATCTTTCCTTTCACCCCCCTGTTTATTCACTTTCAGAATCTGAGCATGCCTTCCCGCCCTTCTGTTTATGAACTCTACAAGGGTTTCTGGGCTCATGGTACCCTTTACTCTTACTGTATGAGTCTTCATCTCTGCATCTACAGTTTGTACCCCTACATACATGCACACACCACCATAAACAAACATGATATTGTATTTGGGAAACTTTCGAAATAGGAGTACAATCATTTTGAAAGTTCAAAATAGGACTGTCATGTTTTTCTTCGCTAAATAACAGTAATTACTATCAAGTTTTAAAAATATTGTCATGTTTTCGGTCTGTTCTGTCAAAACATGGTAGTAATTACTCCTATTTAGGATGATTTCCCTATTGTATTCTATATCGAGGCAAAGTCATTTGTTTTCGAGGGCGGAGTTTAAAAAAATTACATTGTGGAGTCAAAGATTAAAATCTTAATCATATATTTCACTTGTTATAAATATGTATACACAATTTCATTCTTGGAAATGCCAAGGCCTTCAGCCCGAGCCGGCCGTGTCTCCAAAATTGTTCTTTACCTGATTCTATAAACCTCATGTCAACCCTATCATATAGGGGTGGGTTCGGTTCTTGCGGTTCGGTTTTGACCTAAAACCAAATGTAGAATCAAAGTAAAAAGTTCGGTTCGGTTTCGGTTTGGTTTCACACTCCAAAACTTGGAACCACGGTTTGATTGGTTCGGTTTGTTTCGGTTCGGTTTCAGTTTTTTCGGTTTTTTTACCAAAATTTTTTCACTTGATTTTAAATTGATATAATACTTAGAGTGATCAAACATATTACATAAAGAATTCAAGCACAATATAACAACAAATAAAATAAAAATGAGAAGAGATAAATATGTCTTGAATTTTATGAGTATGCGAGATATATAGATAAAACTGTATATATTATTGATTTAATTTGTTTGTGAGTAATTTGAATTTTTTTCATGAATATATATGTTCTATGTGATATAGTTGAGATTAATATTTATTGTTTTATCAATATAAAATCTTTAAGTTAGCTAAAAATAAAAGTTAATTACTACTAATAACTAGTAAACACATATGATCATCATTCAATATAGCTATTATTACAGACAATGAATGTTTAAATGAATTTATAAACTAAATTAAATTAAACATAACACAAACATTATTTCTCTAACACAAGAAAACCAAAGACTATTGATGATATTAAGATTAACTAGAATTAATGCTTAACAATTAACATATAAATTTCATATTTTAAATAGTTCGGTTTGTTCGGTTCGGTTCGGTTTTGAAGGGTAAAAACCAAAACCGAATCGAACAACTTCGGTTCGGTTCGGTTTTTTACATTCGGTTTCGGTTTCTTAGCGGTTCGGTTTTATTTGGTTGTGATTCGGTTTAATTTGATTCGGTTTTCGGTTTTCGGTTTTTCGGACCCAGCCCTACTGTATCATATGATTTTACTACCGTACGAAACATATCACTTTACTATGTACTAGAATAACTCATCCGTTAATTTTTAGTCATAACGCTAGCGTCTCCAAATAATTCATATGTACTAAAAATGATCAAACTTGTGCGTTGCAGCGCTGCAACGAACAAGTTAGACCATCAGTATTTCATTCTTTATTAGAATTTTTTTAAAGAATCAGATTATGAAAATTTAAAATAAAAAGAATTTAACAATATTTACAAAAAATAAATTTATCGTACATTAATTAATAAAATGAAATCAAAGTAGAGTATATAAAAACTATAAGATTCAACTTCCAACTTAAAGAGAACCAAGGTATTACGTAAAAATGTTGTATCAAAGTAAATCATCAAAGTATTAGTGCCATATCCCACTTTATTTGGGATGAGGATTACTACACAAAAGTCATAGGTTTTGTTTGGTAATGAAGCTCTTTATTGAAAAACAGTATCCTACAACATCTTAAAAGTAAGCTACCAGCTTTATACTCTTCACTTTTGTTCCTCCAATGATGGTAGTCTTTACAAAAATAAACCCTTCAAAATACGTTCTTTATACGGAGTATCATTCTGCGCACAATAATTTTACCAACCATTTCAAAATAAAGACAAATACAAAGTAGGTGGTATTAACTTTCATTTTCATAATAATTAGTACTTCCATTCTCAGCTTAATTTCAATTCAACTTTGTTAACTATACGTGTGAAAGGTTGAATGCAAAAAAGTCTATATTCCTAATGGAGCCTTCCGCACTCAACTACGTAGTACTACTTATTACTGAGTACAAAAAAGCAACTCTCCTATTCATACTCTTAGTAGTGCTTATCTTTTGGTTTTTCTTTTTCTGTATGATGGATAACCAATTAGAGTAGAGACTCTTTTATACCCAATCTTACGGCTAATTTCCACCATAGTTCCCTGTTCATGTAATGTGTTGACAAGAAATGAGAAAATCTTGGACTATGGCTGGGGGGAAGACCGGAGACTTCAACTCAAGATTTCTATGTCTTGGAACTAGGGCTGAGTAAGAAAATGATCAAGAAAAGTTAACTAACATACAGTTCAGAAACCAAACAAATTAAAACCGAAACTGGCCAAATTATGGACGATTCCATTTAACAATTTAAATTTTACCTGTAAAACCAAATCCGGGTGGAACATGGCAAAAATGACTGAAATCAAATCAACCGAAACCGATCAATCCGACTAATGGTACAGTGGCTCGGTTCTTGTAGTTTACCATTGTCAAAGCCAAACCAAACAAACTAAGAGACCGTTTGGTAGCACGAAAATCGGCTGTTTTGGTTGATTCTTTTGAAATTTATGAAGTTCTGGCAGATGTGGTTTCTTTGGCTGTTTCTGCTTTTTTAAGTAAAAATTATTTTTAAAAGATATTTTATTAATAAAATAAAGAAAAAATTATATGTAAAAATAGCTTAAATGGTCATCTACAGTAACTTCAGCCAATACAGCCAGAAAAGTAACTCCAACCTTACTTTTTCTGCTTATTACTCAATTCAGCGCGCGAAAGTAAAAGTTACGTGTTTGGTGAAAAAGTTGGCTGATAAGTTTGATAAGTCTGATAAGCCGAAAAATGATATTACCAAACGGCCTCTAAATTGAAAATATCGACAACTTCGAACTGCTAACCAACCCTAGTTAAACTATATTCAACTACGGTAACTTGGTCAAGGTTGAAGACAAGAACACAACACCAAATTAAATACCCGCAAGGCTAGGTAAAGTGTAGCCCGTGTTTGGCTGCCAATTTGACATTTTCAACCTTCTTTATAATACTACGTATAAGGTAATTATAAGCTATGCCTATCTTACAAGTGTCCTTAAAATATTGTTTAACTACAAGCTTATAAGTGTCCAAGTATACCTTCTAATTTGTGGATGCATTGCTTCACTTCCTTAGCACAGCTTTCACAGTGCATATATATTTTCAATATAACCTCAATCACCTTCTTCTGTACTCAAAATACACAAATAAACAATGTTTCAGTTTACAAAATAAGCCCAATAAGAATCTCTTATGATGTCTTTAATTGAAGTGTAATTTTTTTGGCTGGTCTATTTAAGTCTGATTTAGTATAGTCTGGTCTGAACTTAAATGCTTCAGCAGAATTAGCCTAGTTCGGTAGATGTTTGTTATATGTGCATTTCATAATTGTCGGAGTCTGTTCTAGTCTGTTTAAATATAGTCTGATCTAATCTGATTTGAGACTCTAATAAATAGAGTAAATTACCTAAATAGGACAAAAAACGGGCCAAATTGCACAAATAGAACTACATTTTTTAAATCTCCCAGTAGGACTATTTATGTGTGTTTGGACAGATATAGTCTTGTAGCTTTTAAAATGTTTTAATTAGAAATAAAATTGTAAAAAATAATTAAAAAATCATAAAAATAGAAAATAAAATAATAATAAATTGAAAAATTAATTATAAAATAAAAATTTTAATTCTTTAAAAATTAAAAAATTAAAAAAAAAACTAAAATCGTAAAAATTAAAAAAATTAAAAAAATTTAAAAAAAAGTAAATCGTAAAAACTATTTATTATATAAATATTTGATTATTTTTTTCATTTTTTTTTGATTTATTATTATTTTTAATGATATTATAATGAATTAATACCCTTGGGAGTATTTAGGATAGAAAATCAATATTTAGTCCTATTTGCGTTTTTTAGGGAAACTTTAGTACTCCGTACTATTTAGGGAAATAACTATAATAAATACAATTAAAAATATTCTAAAGTTCCAAAAAGTATTTATTTGGATATGCGGAGTAAGACATACCTCTTCTTTTTTAGGTTCTTTGTTCTCTTGTTTCTTGGGCTTGGGAATAGGTGAAATCAGCTCTACATGTTTCCCACTTTTCTTCCTTAACCTTTCTGTAACCTTTATAGGATCTGCTTTCTTCCCTTTAACAAGTGCTCGGTGATTCTTCTCATCAACTTGAATTGATTCCACTCCTAAATTTCAAACAAACAATTTTTTTATTATAAAAGCAACCGCCGTAACAAGGAGTATTAATAGATTACAAATATTTATTCACAAATGCATGTTGAATTTAGGGCGTGTTTGGTAACGGCTGCAATGGTTGAAACTGCTGAAAAGACAGAATTTGCTGAATTGAAAGTGTTTGGTAATATATTGGCTAAAATGACTGGTTGAATGTAAAATTACCATAAAGAATATTACTTTCTTGATGTTTGACTTTTCTATACATTTCATTACAACTCACCCCTACCCCCTCAACCCTTATTGGCCACAAAATACCCCACACCTTCATAAAAGTGTTTTGAAACACACAAAGTATTGAAAATACTTGAGTATTTATAATTCAAAATTTTAAATATGAAGAAAATTGAATTACCAATGAGTTTTAAAAAATCATAATAAATTCAAAATACAAACAAAGCAAGCCTATAATTTCATGTCACTTAAGAAACAAGATCTGTGGCAACTTATGAGATCCAAGCTTGTGGAGTAGTGGAACTCGAAGGCCTAAAAGAGGATATATACGTATTTCACTAACCTAACAGTAAAATAATAAGTATCCAAAGAAGTAACCTTAAGGCCACTTTTTGAGCTGATAATAAAAATTAGCCAAACTAGCCCATTAAGAGGCTGTTTGGCGATTTTTTTTGCATTTTAAGGCTTATAATTAAGCTGATTTTGACTCTTCCAAACAGGCACTTAGTCTACCAAATGAAATGGTTATGGTCAAAATTTAATGGGTAACGTCCATTATGCCAATTAAATACTACGTATATACATTGAATATCGATGTTTTTATTTGAATTCATATTTGTCTCAAACAAGTAAGATTATAATAGCCCTAATAATGAAATATAGGAAAAATTGATAGTAATAATCCCAACGTAACTATTGGTGGTCCGTTCATAATAATCATAACTATCGATTATTTCAGAATAATCTCAACTTTAGGGACCTTCCGCCAATAATGGTCCGACGTGACCGGTTATAAATTAAATCCTATAGTTTCTAAAGTGGATGAGAAGAGATATAACAGACAATCCTTATAAATAATCTCAATTTTAACTTTTACGCTTAATTTATATTAAAATTTACCTATTATAGCAAGCAATATCTGGTCGTGGACCATTATTGGTGGATGATTCATATAGTTGGGATTATACAAAAATAATCAATAGTTGAGATTATTGTTAACGGACCAGCAATAGTTGAGATTATTATTTTCAATTTTTCTTAAAATATATACATGACTTTTCTAAACAAGATAAGGTTTATTTCCAGGCACCGTAATGGGCCAAAAGAAAGACCGCCGGTTACCCAAACATCATTTTTCCTAACTTTTCAATCGCTCGACCAACAGAGCTATTTGGGCAGTATTCATTTTTTCCAGATTTATTTTATGCATAAGCTAAGATGAATATGCAAAGAAATGCATTTTGATTTGGGGATGTGAAATTACCATCGAAGCCAATGAGTGAGCTTTTGATCGTGTCTGCACAACCTTGGCAATGGATATATACCCCCAACACAATGGTCCCCCCTGGGTTCTGTTCGTTTGACCCTTCTTCACCTTGATTTCCTTGTCTTTGTCCTTGTCCACCATCATTATTCTTCCCCTTCAAGTATTAATTAAACATCCATCAACATTCACTAAGATGATGAACAACAATTGTAAATGGGGAAATACTTTTTTCACGTCTTATTTTACCTGAAGTTGTCTGGTGTGTACAAGCAATTTATTTAAAAATCAACGTGTACATGTCTGGCATATACACGAAAAACTTTTCTTGTAAATATAACAACGTGAAAACTCTTACATCCCAGAAATTAATATGAACAAAGGGTGGACTTGATGTTTTGGAAAACTTTAGTTTCGGGAAGAGTTATGAATTTGAACAAGTATTATGAGTTTTTCTTACCTTCCCCATTTTTGTTCTTCAATTCCCCAATATGAAACCGCAATTGGAACTACCTAATACACCGTAGTAGCTACCGCACAAGATTGAATGGGTGTATGGATATATTGTAAAATATGTGAAATGACTCATTCATACAATGGATGATATCATATTTATACACACATGAATTTTAATCATATTATTGCATATCCATTCTTAGAGAGAAAGAGAGAAAAGACATAATCGTACCATTGCAGTTACTAATTAGAGATTGTTGATGGATGATATGTGCATGGAAAGTTATGGAAACTAAGCTGTGTGAAATCACTGAGCACTAATTCTGTTACCTTAGAGAGTTCAATGAAAGTAATGACATCAATATGTGGAAACTTTATTGATAACAGAAATGAATTCATGAGAAATACATTCATGTACTTGAGTACACAAGATTATTGTGTTTGGCTAAACAAATAGAAATGTTATCACTCTGCGATTCATATACTACGTATGTACATAAATAAGAGTTAATGCGCGCTATTAACTTATTTGTCCAAGTAAAATTGATGAACATAGGTACTTTGGGAAAATTGATTAAAGGTATTCCATATGTTCTAAATAAGCTTCCCTGTCGAGCCTACCAACTTCAGAAATTGTATGTTAAAGTTAATTTTTGAGAAATTTCTCTAAATAGAAGTAAAAGTATTTAGGAATTTCAAAATATGAGTGACATGTACTTATTCCACAAATAAGAGTAATTATTGTTATATTTTGGCAGTATTAGATATTAAACATGACAGTATTTTTCGAACTTGACAGTAATGACTCGTATTTAAGGAATAAAAATATGACAGTCTGACTCCGGATGCGGTAAATTTCAAATTATATTTCTTATGATACTATTGTTTTTCTTTTCTTTTGTTACCATTTCAAACAAAGAAATGCTCGAGGCTTGATACATTTGTTCTATGAGTGAAGTGATTGTGCGTGGTGTCACAGGTGTGGGTAATGTTATTTTTAGTCTATACTTCATCGTAGTCAGGGGCGGAGCTAGGGGAGGGCCAACCCTGGCCCTGACCCAGTCCAATTTTTAAAAATGTCTAAATTTTAGTGTAAAAATTTCCGAGTAATTTTTTTTAAAAAATATTCTTTGTATTGGCCCATCCTGGTCCAGTGTTTCGGCTCCGCCCCTGATCGTAGTCATAAATGAGTCAGCCTAGCTATTCCGTATGGGAAAAATATATTTCCTCCGTCCCGGCTCGGACTTTGTCAATTTTGATTTTTTTTTGTCACAAAATTTTTAGGACTTTTCTTTTAATCTAAAGTAATGTATGTGTGGTTTTCTTATTTTTCATTCATTTACACAAATCTCAACTACAATTTTTTTTACTTTTCTTATTTTATATCAAATTAAAGTTGACAATATCCAATGAAACTGATAAAACATGTATTGCGGAATAATATTTTTTGTCGTAATAAATAGTAAATATGTATCGGGTTGTAGTACAAAACTACATATCATGGTTCACAAATATATACTATCGTACTTAGGATGTTTTTACTTGGACTGTAATTTGCTGGTCTGGTCTGGTCTGGTAAGGTCTGGTTTCTTTGTATTTTTATAACTATTCAAGTTTGGTCTGGTCTGGTCTGAACTGGCCTGGTCTGGTCTGGACTGGTCTGGTCTAGTCTGGGACAAATTACAGTCCAAGTAAAAACATCCTTAGTACTATGTGATGAAACATACAAAAATCTTTTTGTACACATTTTTATTATTTACACACTTATACGTACTGTATCTGTAGACAAAACACGTTTTGTATGTGACAGAAAAAAAAAAGCCTCCTCAAGCCGTGTGTACAAGTGTGTAAACAATAATAGTGTGTACTTGTGAACTACCATAGTATATCTTTTTCTAAAAAAGAGAAAAATACCATAAATTAATACCACCATTAGATACTTTAGGTATCAAAACTCACATTTTCAACTAATTAGTTGCAAACACACGACAAAGTGCATGAACCAAAATAAATAATACACTCTAACTACTTACAAATAAGAATTATATCTAAGCAAAATAAATAATAGTAACAATTACAAATAAGAAAAAAAAAGAAAGCCATTCCATATTGGAGGCCTATTCTTGTTCGGGTCAGATCATGAGTAAGGCCCATTTCATATCATGATCGTTTCTGTATGTGCTGAAACCATTCAGCCCCATTTCAAAAATCGGCCGGTCATAATCTCACCGCCGGAGACTCGGAGTTCATTGATATAAAGAACAATTAATTATACTAATTAATTAAATTAGGGTAGAAGTAGTCAAGTAGAACGTTTAGTCTTATTTTCTTTTAAGGCAAAAATACCGAACCGGCATGATACCGAACCGGACCGGTATGGTACCGGACCGATAAACGGGGTTTGAAACGGATCTCAAAATTTTTTGTCCAGAACCGGTTCCAAACAATGCCATGACCGGTTCTCATAAAATGAGAACCGGTACCAGACCGAACCAGACCGAAGTATGGTTTATTAAATTTGTACTACTTTTTTTTTTTTTTTTGCCAGGAAACACCCTACCTATTTATTAGAAAAAAGATGGAACATCATACATTGAGTAAGAGGACTAGACCAATGCCTACTCAGGATCAAACACATAGGGATAACTAACAGCATCAAATTTTAAGATACCAACAAAATGATTGAAATGATGAGTCGTGGTATGAATAGAAACACTCCTATGAGCTAAATACTCAGCTGCGCGATTGATCCTCGGGTGGATGAAAGTGATCACACAATTATGATTCTTGAGTCTTTGCTTGATATTGTGGAGTCTCGGCCAGTATCTCCAATGTTGAGTAGATATCCCAGTGAGACCCTCGTAAATGTTTCTATTATCAACTTCAAGAATGAAATTAGTCACATTAGTATTCTTGATGTTGATAATATTATCAATAATGGCGTCATAGGAAGCAAGGATTTGATCCTGGTGTGCGGTGGTGTGAACCTTGTGGGCAACGTAAAAACCTTTATCATTACGGATAAGGGCAGCAGTTCTTAGAACAGAAGGAGTCAAAACCCGAGTAGCAATGTTGATCTTATGGTAGTTTGGGGGCGGTTTATTCCACGCCTTGGTGCTAGGGACGTTTTTGGTCTTATGCGTGACTGTGGTGCAAATGGTGAAAATGGTGTTTGGTCCAGTAATTATGAAAGGTTTAGCATTATAAATGGCAAATATGTCAGATTTAATAGTATAAATTGCCTCAGACAAAGTGACATGATTACCATCATGGATAATTTTGTTACGATACTTCCAAAGATTCCAAACAATGGTATTTGGAAGGACATAGTTAAAATCCTTAATATTGCCCTTATAGTTGTTGTACCAGTCAGCAAGGTAAGGATTTATGGAGTGGGTAGAACCAGGTTTGAAATTTAAAGATATTTCAAAATGTTGCCAAATAGATTTTGAAAGGTTGCAAGATAAAAAGAAGTGGTCAATGGTATCATTAAAGGGACAAACCGGGCATTTATGAGGTCCGACAACACCGATCTGCCGAAGTTGATTTTCAAAAGGGAGCAGATCATTAGCAAGTCTCCATAATAAAAAAGAAATTTTTTTTGCAGTTCGACCATTCCAAATATAATCAGAAGTATTCATAACATTCATTTTAGGCCTTATCGCATCATAGGCACTAGAAAAACTGAATTTGCCATTTGAGGTTGGTTTCCAAAGGTAGCCATCCTCACAGGTTGTGAAATGGACTTTGGTGCCATTTATCTTGTCTCTAAGGTATCTGGGAAGGCAGTTTGAAAGGGCCATATTAAGTGTGCCATCGGGGATAGCATTTCTAATGGTAATTTGGCTAAAATTGATCGGGATATCATCAAAATGCAAATAAATAGGACCAATATCACACCAATTAGAGAACCAAAAAGAACTAGCACCATTATTAACCTGGACTCTACAATTATCCTCAAAGATATGGCTTACAGAATCAATGGACTTGTACATAATAGAATGAGTACTATCCCTAAGCTTATTATACCAATTAGCCCAAATTCCCGTGTTAACATTTGCTTTCCATAAAAGTTTAAGGAAAAATGTTTTTTGGATGTCGGCTAAACGACGAAAGCCTAATCCATTTTCATTAACCGGGTAGCAACATTTGTCCCAACTACGCCAAATATGTTTATGCTTGTCTAAGTTATTACCCCAAAGAAAATTCGAGAGTTTCCTCTCAATATTGTAAATAGTATTCCGGGGAATGGGGGAGACAGCCATATGGTACAAAGGGATAGTACTAAGAACATGGTGAATAAGAATAATTCTACCACCAGGTGAAAGCATTTTGTGCTTCCACCCAGAGAGTTTATTGTCAATTTTATTCAAAATATGCTCAAAGTAAGAATTAAGAGTGCGACCAATATAAATGTTTGCCCCCAAGTAAGTAAAAGGAAAAGAACTCTTTTTAATTTTGAAAATATTTTCAATAATCCTGGAAGAGTGGTGATTGGCATGTTAGGAAATAAGGTAGAAACTCTTATCTTTACTTATTAGCTGCCCAGAAAAGTGCTCATAATCGGTGATAGTATTCTTTAGTAATTCAAGAGTCTTTTTCCCAGCATTGGAAAAAACAATAAGATCATAAGCAAAAGATAGGTGGCTTATGTGAGGCATACCTGTGAGAGTAGTGTAAGGGCTAGCCTTACCAGTTAAATAGAGCTTGTTTAGGTGTTTGGACAGAATTTCAGCCACAATAATAAAAAGAATAGGGGATAGGGGATCACCTTGTTTAACACCCCTACTCGGTTTGAAAAACCCTTTAGGAGCCCCATTGATCAGCACAGAAAACCAAGTCGCATTGAGGTTGTTACAAATCAAAGTAACAAAAAACGGGTGGAAACCAAATTTATGCAAAGTATGTTTAATAAAATTCCAAGAGATCCTGTCAAAGGCTTTCATCATATCAAATTTAAAAATGATATTATGCCCCCTAATCTTCTTATTAATGTGATTAACAAGCTCACGAAGGATCAAAATATTATCCGAGATTTCCTTACCCTTTTGGAAGGCAGACTGCTCAATGGAGATGATTTTGGAAAGCATAGGGGTAATTCTAATGGTAAGAATCTTAGTAAAAATTTTGTTAATAAAATTACTAAGACTAATAGGCCTGTAATTCGCAAACTGATAAGCATTTTTGCTTTTAGGGATAAGAGCAATAAGGGTGTGGGCAATAGCTTTGGGGATGGGAACACCACAAAAGAACTCCCTAACAGCATTACAAAGATCATACTCAATAATATCATAAGCACATTGGAAAAAAACACCATCAAAGCCATCACTCCCAGGAGCACTGTTTTTATTTAGGTAAAAAACAGCATGCTTAATTTCAGAACTGGTAACTGGGCTTAATAAATTAGCATTATCGGCAGAATTAATAACAGGATCAATAATATTCAAATAATGGCTAGGATCAAGGGAGTCAGTAGCATTATCAGCAGTAAGAAGATCTCTATAGAAAGTAATAGCAGCCGCACTGATATCCTCAATGTTTTCAATCCATGACCCATTTTCTAGCTTAATTTTTTGGATATTAAGCTTTTGATGTTTGGTTTTTAAGGAGAGATGGAAAAATTTGGTATTCGCATCTCCCTCCTTTAACCATTTCACTTTCGCCTTTTGCCTATAAAAGGTATTTATATAGGCAGAGGCTTGAATGTATCTAGCTTGAGCCTGTTTCAGAAGAAGGTGGTCTTCCTCGGAAAGGGAATCAGAGGTCTTTTCTTCAAGAATAGTAATTTGATTTTCAGCTTCGGACTGTTGATTGAAAATATTCCCAAAAGTGTCATGGTTCCAAGTTTTAAGGGCATATTTTAGACGTTTGAGCTTATTAGAGAAAAGCCTCATGCCATAGCCATCGCAGGGAGAGTCCCAAGATGTTTTGACAGTTTTCAGAAAAGTAGGGTGGGTAGTCCACACATGCTGAAATTTAAAACTTTTGGGGCAATTATTAGGGACACTGGTTTCTTGAAGTAGAAGAGGATTGTGATCAGAAACACATTTATTCAGTTTTTTAAGGGTTAGGTTCCTGTTTAGTTGAAACAACTCGTTAGAAGCCATAACCCTATCAAGTTTTTTAAAAACCAGACCATTCATCCTGTTCCCCATCCAAGTGTAAGGCGATCCCTGAAAGTTAAGCTCAACCAGACTATTATTAAATATGAAATCATTAAACTCATGCATGTCAGTACTGTTAGGAGTACTATTACCTTTGTATTCATTAGCATTGCTAATAACGTTGAAATCACCACCTAAAAGCCAGGGTTTTTGGCTAATGGTACTCCTGAAGTGGACAAGGTCAGCCCATAGGAGCCTTCTATTTATTCCAGTGTTAGCTCCATACACCACAGATATATAATGTTAGCCAGATTTTATTGCGACAGTGAGCATAAGACCCATTAAAACCAAGCTGTAGCATTTTAGAGTTTAAAAAATTAGTGTTCACCATGGGTTCAATAATGCACAGAAAATTGATATGATAAGTATTGCATAATAAGTGTAAACGATCAGTAGACTGGGAATTTCCAATCCCCCGAATATTCCAAAATAGCATACTAATCATAAAAACAGAGGGGGTTGGACAGATTTCTTGGGTCTTAGGCTATAAGGCTCCCTGTTGGCAGGAGGCTTCAAAGTTTCAGAAAAGTCATTTGTGGCATGTCTGGATTTTTTGGATGGTTCCCCATCAGAGAGCGTCTCTCTGGGGTCCAATTCCAAATCCATATAAGTGTTAACCTCATCATCATTCTGACTCAAATCATTTAAAGTCAGAGAATTAGTGTTGTTCTTATCTTGTGTATTAGGGGCATTATTTGATGACTGAGGAGTTTTCAGGGAACTATCACTAATAGTGGCAGATATATGTTTGGCAGAAGTCAAAAGACCAGTGTGGTGATTTTCAGAAACAGGGGCAGAAGTATTAGCAACAATAGCAACATTATTTAAACCCGGAGGGGTTACCATAGGTTGCAGATCAGAGGGACTGTCCTTGGTGATGGGGGGGGGGTGAAGTTCTCCACATTATTAGGAGGGGGCGGGTGGTCCTGGCTATTTAGAGGTGTGTTCTGCACATCCTCATTCATCCCCGAAGGGTTTGTTCCGGAGTTTGGTTCAGGTGGGAATTCATCAAGATTCTGGAGAGCATCCTCAAATTGGTCATTTTGTATTCCATCGTCCTGACGTTTAGACACACCTGATGATTGTCCTTTTTCCAGAACAATTTTTCGCCAAACAGAAAATTGATTTTTAGATGGGGGGTTGGTTTGGTGGTGGGGATGGGGTTTTTCTATATGGGAAACCACCTGTTTTTAGTTGTACTACTATAGTTTATCTAAAATATATTAATTACCTCATCCGTCCCAAATTGATTTGCAAAGCCAACATTTTTTTGTCAAAGTTAATGTAAAATTCTTGATAATTAATACAATTTTTAATAATTAAAATTTACATATTTAGAAACCTCATTAAAATCTCTCTAAAGTTGCAAAATCCAAATTAAAATATACGAAGTATGGAGTAGTTTTTTTGAAAGGCCAAATTAGAATATAATTAAAAAGTGAAATTCTAATTAACTGAATAAAAAGAAATTGTTTGACCAAAAAAAGATTGACTTTGCAAATCAATTTGGAACGAAAGTAGTATGATATATGAAAATTGATAAATTGTGTGGATTTTTGGAGGATGGCTAAACTTTAATTTTTTCTTAAACACCTGGAAAAAGTGGCATTGTTTGGTATTGGTATGGCATGGTACCGTCCCGTTTGAAAATGGACCGTACCGAACGGGTTTGGATCTATGACCGAACCGTACCGAACCGTACCGAACCGTTTCAATAGTAACGGTACGGGTACGGGTTCGGCCAAATATTGGACTGGACCGGACTGTGCCCACCCCTAGAAAAATATAACCCTACTTTTAGAAAAATGCTACTCCTATACCATTTTACTTTCTTTTGTAAGTTATCTCAAAATAAGTGTCCTATTTTCTTTTCGGAAAAAAAGAATCTAATTCATGACATTTCATTTGATTATAATCAGATCTCAACTACAACTTGTAGCATTTCAAAAGTAACTAACTAAATATTTTCTAACAGTTACTTACCTAAAGAGTGATTATATATTTTTATCAGGCTGGTGAATTCCAAATTGAAATAAAATTCATTGATGTTCTGTCGAGCGCGAAATATCTACAGGTCTACTTGAGTTAGCGGTTACATGATTGGATAAGGATGATTAGTTTCAACCGTATTTACATTTTTACTTTTTATTTTTGTTTTTTTGTTTGCTTGTTTAATTTTTTTTAGAGAAACTGGAATTATCATATTTTTACTTTTTTATTTATTTTTTTGTTTGCTCGTTTTAATTTTTTTTTTTTTATAGATAAATTGTAAGTTTTCATATCAGGTTAGAAGCATAGAGATCAATATGATCAAATTAAGCTTCAATTTGTTCATTATATGTCTAGCGGTTTCAACGACTCCAATTTGTTCATTATATGTCTAGCGGTTTCAACAGCTCCTTTATGGGTGACATAAAGGCCGTTTGGCAACACTGTTTTTCAGATTATCAGGCTTATCATCCAACTTTTTCACCAAATACGTAACTTTTGTTTTCGCGCGCTGAATTGTGTAATAAGCAGAAAAAGTAAGGTTGAAGTTACTTTTCTAGCTGTATTGGCTAAAGTTACTGTAAATGACTATTTTAGCTTTTTTACATATATTTTTCTTTATTTTACTAATAAAATATATTTTATAATTTTTTTTTCTTGAATAAGCAGAATCATCCAATGCAACCACTTCAACCAGAACTTCATAAATTTAAGCAAAATCAATCAAATCAATCGATTTTCGTGCTATCAAACAACTCATAGTCTAAGTATAACCATTGTGCTTCTAAATGAGCCAGATTTATGTTCAGTGTATTGTAGAAATGTTTGATTTATTAATTTAATAGAGTTTTCATTCAAAAAAGTAACTAACTAAATGGTTTCAATCTGAAAAGGTCTCCCTCTATGTATCCGGTAGGAAAGACGCATGCAAAGGCGACATGTACGAGGTACCACCAGTTTCTCCAACCACACGTGTCTCGACGCGCCGCATCCACGTGTTTCCCTCGCCAGTTCAGCTACACGTGTCCGCATTGTGAGATGAATGTAAACATCATCTCCATCTCTTTCCCAACTTCCTCTGGATCAAATCTCTGCCTTCTCATCTCTTTCTTTTACTTCCCAAACGATCTCTTTCTGGAATTAATAAAGTTTGGCTACCCTTTACACTCATATCTCACTCCCAGTTTTCGATCAAGCAATACATTTAACTACCAGCATTGAGTAAGTTTTCTTGTTTTAATTATTGTCATTAATTTGGTATATTTCTAAATTTCAACCCTATGATGGATTTTTTTTTTGAAAAACTATGATGGAATTTATGTTATGTGATAATTTCAAAACATTGATATAGAACTATGTGTGTTCTGTTCACTTTGGATCTCTATAATACAAGAACACTATGTTGCGGAAAACGGAAAACGTCAATTTTTGCTCAAAAAAGTCTTATTTTGAAAGTTTCCTTAGAGTTTCGGAAACAGAAGCGTACTCTTTTTCGAGAGTTTCCGTTCTACATAGCAAGAACAATCATCACCCCAGCCCTGCAAAGGGCTCCCACTTACCTCTATTAAAGTATAGAGACCGTTTCCGGATGATCTATACCATGTTTCTTCTCTTTTAGAATTAGCTAGGTTCCCATTATTATCTTCCATTTCTCTTCTGTATAGTAAATGCTATTTTTGCTATGGTGACAGCTCAATCTCAACTCCAGAATACCCAACAATTTGCAAGTGAATTGGCAAAAAAGCAGAACAAAAGCCTAAGATGTCAGGAGTGTCCCTAGCTGTGTCTTCAGACATGAACAAACCAAAGTCACCAGAACAAAAGCAGGCAGTTGGTATAATGGGATCCCTCCGGGTGATCGAGCTGCAGTTAGTCGCTTTCATCATGGTGTTCTCGGCTAGCGGGCTCGTCCCGCTGCTCGATCTCGTCTTCCCCGCTCTTACGACTGCTTATCTGCTCCTGTTATCCCGGCTAGCCTTCCCCTCCCATGGAAGAACTGCCTATGGATCACAGGAGATATTTCAAGGGAGTCGGTTGTTCCGCATTTATGTGGTGGTTGGCACCACATTGGGGCTGTTTCTGCCGTTGGCTTATGTTCTGGGTGGGTTCGCGAGGGGCGATGAGCATGCGGTCCGATCCGCCACGCCTCATCTCTTCCTCCTATCCTTCCAAATACTAACTGAAAATATCATAAGCGGTTTGTCCCTCTTCTCACCGCCAGTTCGAGCTCTAGTCCCTTTGCTTTATACGGTTCGCAGGATATTTGTCATTGTAGATTGGATGCATGATGTGTGGATTAACAAGTCATTACCTGCAAATGCACAGTTCAAGGTAAAGAAATCATGGTTCTTTTTTGGAACGGGCCGAGTGTTAGCCCGTTCTTAGGGTGGGAAACACTAGAAACCGACCTGCTCTTATTGGCCAATGTTTGTAGCTACATTATCAGTTAATGGGGTTTTCTATGATATTTTCTAGAATAAGCATATTGATATATTTTGATAAATATGAGTTTATAGTTGCTAGAAGTGATATTATGTGGAAAATCGATCCCTCCGGTCGCTTGGGGGGCCTCAATGATGGAGTGTCATCGCTGCATCCTTTGATCCCCTTTAGCTCACTTCGATGTCACGTAAAGTCTACGGGTGGCAAACTCCCGGGATTAAACAAGTTGGGAAGTCTAACATAGATTAAGCTGTAAAACTCTAGCATAATATCTATGCATGTTTCAGGAAGTGGCGTGGTTCTGGTTCGGGAGGGTGCTTGCAGCGGCTAACATGGCCTATTTCTGCATAAATCTCTTTGGCTTTTTGATTCCTCGGTTTCTCCCGAGGGCATTCGAAAGGTACTTCAAGGAGAGGGACGAAATTCTTGCCAAGACTTCCGAAGACAAGCGTTCGGCTGCAATGTCCAAGGCGTCTCAACACGCTGAGAAGGCTGATTAGTGGTGTAATTGGGCTATGCATATAATGCCATTCCTGTTCCAAACATCCTGCTTCCTGTTCCAAACATCCTGCTTGCTTATAGTTATTCTGTTTTTATATACACAAGTATAGACTGTTCGATATTTAATGCTTTTAACCTGGTAGTTTGCCTAGTTTAATAACGGTATTTGGAAAGAGTGAGCTAGTGAGTGTTGTTATATACTACTTGTACCTCATCACTTACATTGTCCCACAAAAAACATGTACAATTACTTGATATTGTGTATCTTTATTGGGAGCTTATAATATCCTTCTAATTAACATTTTAGTTGTTTTTTGTTACATGCTTTAGGCCTGTATAGCAAGCTATAACATTCGGCATATGAATTAAAGTCCAAAGTTTTGAGAACATATAATATGTGTGTGGGTGTGACTAGCTTTTGGTATCTGATTTCCAGTTGTGTAGTTAAACAATGTTATCTTGAAGTTGACTAGATCTCTTTACGTTCTATAATACTCCAAGATCAGCCCTAATGGATTAGAGATGATATTTATAAAAAACATGATGTACTGGAATACCTTATTATAATTTCAAGTGGGTAGATTATGAAATTCAATCGAGTACAGAGGTATTTATTCTTAGACGTGACATTCGCTCGAGAGGGATTAAAGTATATAAATGCCTTGTAATCCTTCTTAGAAATGAAATTCTTTCTCGGAATGAAATTAAAGTAGATAAATGTCTTTTGATCAGAATACTACTGCCTCCTTTGCAAGTGAAGGTTCTTATCAAATTTAAGTGCTATTTCAAATTTAAATGTCCTTGAAGCGCCAAGGATTACTGAAAATAATCTTATTGTTGGCAAGGATTACTGAAAATAATCTTATTGTTGGCAAGGATCGGTAACCATTAAGACCAGTCTAACATCAAAAATTGAATAGAAACTTTTAACTGAGATGGAGATCAGAGAGTATTTCTAAGTAAAAGTTCTCTTATTGGGAAGGTTTCTATCGAAGCTTTTGAGGTATTAGAATACATGTACTGATGTACTATTAAATGTTTCTACTACACCTTAATGTATTAGAAAAATTTGATTTATTTATCAAAAGCCAGTATTTCTCATTTTTCATGGGATGGGAATAAGGGAGAGGCGGGGACTAAATGGGTCCCAACTTTAGTGTAAATGTTTATGTACAAATTTTTTGTATCAGGCCATCCCAACTTCTACTTTTGTTTGTGCCCTCAATGAGAATAACTCATTTTATTTTATTGCAAAGATTCTTAGGCATGCATATTTCAATGAAGAATACTATTTCTATATGGAGATATATGCGAAGAATTGTACATAAAGTAAAACAATTTCAAAGAAAATAAGTCATCTTAATGGTTGATATGTCACACGGAGTAGCATGTATCTAAATGTTAAAGTTAATAGTGCCTATATTATACGAGTATGCATTTCCGATCCCAATGTTTTTTTTAAGAAACTTTGTCTTAAATAGGAGTAAATAAGTTTTGAAATTCCGAAATATTTTCTTCTCGAAAAAGAAGTCATTACTGTCATGATTGAAAAATAATAACATGTCTAATACCTAGTAACGTTACTATTCCATAGTAATGACTACCGTAAGTACTACTCCATATGCCATTAAAAAAAAGTACTACTCCATATCATGTTACTTCTATTTCGGGAAGAAAAACATAGCAATTGTATTTGTAATTTCAAATTTATTTAGTTCTATTTCAGGAACTTTCCCCTTTTTAATTATGAACCAAAAGTAATGAAGTATTTGCCAATTAGTCGTTGGTTGATTGTGTTAGCTAATTAATATCGACGAATACAATAAGCATGCTTTGATTAGCAGATAGTATTAGCGGTTTATACAATTATATATGATGAAATGTATGTTTACGGTCAACTGAAAACGTGTTAAATGGCTTTTAAGGACATTAATTAATTTTTTGTTACCAACTATTTTTATATAAGTGTTGATGTTTATTCTTTCAACTTCAAAGACCCAACACATTCCCTTGGCTTTCAAGTGGAATATGAGGTGCAAGCAAATAAGGAGGAACAACTAATTAGAGTAGTAAGTAGGTTGTATCTTATTCAATTGGTAATAAGAGGTCATTTACAACACACTTCACTCCAAGCCCAACTGTCGATCGTATATCTGAGCTAAGAGGAGGGGGAAATAATTGTTATTGTTAAGTAGTACAAGTTGTCAACCCTTTACAATGAATTAAATGTTACTACCTTTGTCCCATTTTATGTGTCTCATTTGGTTTTGGCACAATTTTTAATAAATAGTTGAAAAGGTAAAAGTTATGATTGAGTTTTGAGTAATATAAAGTAGAATATTGTGAACCACACATTTCTTTCTGAAAAGGGAAATGTGACACTTATTTTGAGACAACCCAAAAAGGAAAGTAAGACAGATAAAATGGTACGAAAGGAGTACTATTTATATTACCAAGGAGTATGTGATTCTGATGATGTGGAAGATTATGGATGACTAGTTTCCCAACCACCAAATCTAGTGCATTAAATGCGTTTTCTGCCAATATCTTGATTTCCCGTCAAGGGGCTTGGACGAGCATCCCTCAATCTTGGATACTGGATTCAGGTGAGTGCAAGGATGGCGCTCTGCTCGGCTTATGTGAACTGTCTAGCTAAAGACCATGGTGCATCATCTGGCCCTTAATGGACCAAGGCCAATGAGGCCAAGCGTCTTCGAGGTCTGGACGTGCGTCTGACCGTCACTTTTGCCAGACCGCGACCAGATTGGATCTTCAAGGTTTCCTTGCTTAGGGGTAATGGACCGATCCGCTATCGGGCCTATTAACCCATCAATAAGTATCATATACATTATGTTAATGTTGTTAGTACAACTACTCACACCATTTTTTGTTAATAACAAAATACCCCGTAATTTTTTTAATACTACTAACAATTCTTTTAAACATTGTCCTTCACTCCTTGTACAATAGCGAGTCCACCTTTGCAATGTTGGCCCTTCAACATTTCAAAATACACCTCAAAATCCCATGGTTGTCGATCACCTATGCCAAGAAATAGCGGCACTCCCCATCCAAATCCCGTCACGGTGTATTCAAGATTTTAATGATCATTTGACGTGTGTTATATTTTACTCCCTCCGTCCCCCAATTAAGTTCTCACTTTCCTTTTTGGGCAGTCCCTAAATCAAGTTCACACTTCAATACTTTCCTTATTTGGCAAATTATCTACATCAAAACAGTGCCAAACATAGCGAAACAGTGTTTAAACGGTGCAAAACCGTGCACTCCACAGTAAAGTCAAATTTATTTTCTTAATATATGTGAAGTCAAACCAGTAACTTAATTGGGGGACGGAGGGAGTAATCCATTAGTTCTCAATCTCAAAAGAAAAATAATTGGGAAATCTGGTTGATTTTTTGGTCAAGTAAATTATATTCGAAATTCTTTTTTATCGTACTCTTGAAATAGAACAAAATCGGGTCGAATGGTTCTTTGTACTATTCAAATAGAACATGTATAATTCAAATAGATACACATATATCATATATGTAGAAAAAATACAAAATTGGTTTGAATGGGTTATGGGTGCACTACACAAATTTCATGTGAGAAAGAAGAACACCTCTGACTAGCAAAATGAGAAACCTTCATGCACTGCTCGACCTTTTTGTTTCTTGGGAAAATGTGCAAATAGGCCCATGTACTAATAAAAAAAGTCAAATAAACCCTTATTTATGAGGTTCAATCCGGCCGTCGTCATTTGGGGTGGTTCCCGGTGGAATTTGTTGATGAATTTTTTTGATCATTTTATTCATCAAGTCTAGTTTATTCATACCAAATTTCAGCTAAAACTTCAATCGGGAAGGCATTCAAATGAATTCTTGAAGATAACTGCGCAGTTATTTTCAAGAATTCATTTGAATGCCTTTCCGATTGAAGTTTTAGCTGAAATTTGGTGTGAGTAAACAAGACTTGATGAATAAGATGATTAAAAAATCATCAAAAAATTCCACTGGGAACCACCCCAAATGACGACGGCCGGACAGAACCTCCTAAATAAGGACTCATTTGACTTTTTTTTTGTTAGTACATGGACCTATTTGCACCTTTTCCCTTGTTTCTTTTGGCCGGAAGATATCAAGGAAGGAGAAAAGCCAAGAGTACAAAGTTAAAAGGGAGGGACTATATGGGTAGAATAGGAGTACGCAGTAGATACGCGAACGGGTAGTACCTAATTAAACGCCATGTTTATCAGCTTTTTTGACTGTTCGGAATAAAAATTCAAATTAAAAATGAGACAATTCTACAAAGAGGAGTAAAACATAGAAGTTGTACAAAAATAGGAGTAGAGTTTTTAAATTCGCAAAATAGGTGTATTTTTTATTTTTTCTAAATGGACAAGGATGCCTCTGCCATTACTGCTGCCTAGTGCTACGGTACCACCGCCCGCTGGAGTTCTCCGGACTGTCGCCACCACCCCCGGATGCTGGCCGCCGCCACCGCCAGCTGTCGGCAGCCGCCGGAGCTCTGGCGAGGTAAAAAAATCCAGATTTCCCCCCATTCTTCTTCCACTGTTACCGGAGCTCCGCCGCCGGATGCCACCAACTGCCATGTCACCGCCACCACTAGACTGCCCCCGCCACCGACAGACTGCCCTGGTTGCCCATGAGAACTAGGGGGCAATAATTAATTAGAATAGGGGTTTCCGCCGGTCGCCGGAGCTCCACCGCCAGCCGCCGTCTGCCACCACCACCACCGAACTGCCCCCGCTACCAACACCCTGCCTCGCCACTGACGGACTGCCCTGGTTGCCCAAGGAAACTAGGGGCAATGATTAGTTAGAATAAGGGTATTAGGGGTAAAAAATTAATGTTTACTCCTATTTGGGGAAGATTAGGAGTTAACTCCTGTTTAGGGAAATGTGTTATGTTTTACTTCTATTGGGAGCAATTACTTATTAAAAATCCATTAACCAAACGCCGCCATTAGCTGATTGATCTGGTCAAAAAAACAAATATCAATTAAATCAGTCAAAAATGGTTGATAGACTGTTAACCAAACACTCACCAACATTGTTGTGGCTGTGACACGTATGTAACTTGAGGTTAGCTTATTTTATTGGTACATTCTTGAGGTTAGCTATGGAGATAACCATAGGTGAAGCACATGGTGGAGTCACAACCGCAGAGGTGCTGGCGGTGGACTAGTTGGAACTTCAAATGGCCGGATTAGTGATCATTTCGGTGACCCATGACAACATATATGGTTACATATTGGTATAATATTTTTTATGAACCATGCCCACAAGACATTGATGGTTTTCGGGCACGTAGCTCAGTTGATAGGAGAGGAATTCGACTACAGGCAAAAACTTGAGTCGGAATTCCAATCTTTATCTTCACTTATATAGTTGTTTGATCGATTGTAGAAGGTACTGTAAAAAGAGTGTTATCTTTTCTTCGAGATATTGTATAGCTTTATATGGCGCTTGATTTGCTTGAGCGGGTGCGGGTAAATAATTCTACAGATAAATTGTGTTCGAAAGTATATATTATATCAACATTCAATCATACGTCGCTATTGTTCAACAATACCATTATACAAACAGGGGAATTAATGTTTTTAATAAATCTTTTTAAAAACATTCTTAATTAGGTTGCCCAAAAATGCATTTTCTCTGAAGTATTCGAAATCACTAATTATTCAAGTCCAAATAAATGTACCAATGTACCATCCTTTGGATTTCAAAATGTAAAATTTATGGCGTCATCATTATAAAAACAGAAAGTTAGCTTTGAATAAACAACGGTACTAGCTGGACGAGTTTTCCTAGAGCACGAGAAGAAATATTCCAAGCTTCGAAATTGAACATGATGCTTTCAAACAACAATGACTATCTATCTTTGAGTCGTTCCCTTCAGCCAAATTTGACCGGACGCAGAACGAGTGTGTGGAAAATGTGACCTTTCTTTTCTTAGTTAATAACAATAAAAACAGCGATTAATTTTGTCCACAAAATTCCACACCTAGCTGAGGGAATGGCTGCACCCGATTAGTCCCACTTCTACTTTCTTTGACCATGAATTGTTTGTCCCGGCCGCCGCAACACGTTATGAGCTTTACTAATATTACCTCCGTAACGCTAGAATCTTCCCGGTTTGACTTTTTTGGGTCAAACTTTATGAACTTTGACCATTATTTATTCAAAACTCACATTATGTTATGATTAAATATTTATTTTATATAACTCATTGTAAAACATATTATTTGAATGTTAATTTATTATGAATTTTATAAATATAGATATGTAGATATTTGCAGTCAAAGTTCAACTTAGAAGACCGTGAAAAGTCAAAATGGGAAGATCTTTATGTTACGGAGGGAGTAAGTTACTCCGTACTTGCAAATAAATATTGCAGAATAGGTCCGCCTATTAAGATTGGCATGAGCACGAGTCAGGAATCAAGTAATTGGTATCGATAAAGTGTGAATAAAATAAAAATAATTTGCAATCATTCAAACAACACTGAATGTGGTATGAGACAAGTTAACTTAGGGGTGTTTGGAACGGATTCTGCTTCTGCTTCTTTTTTGGAACTTAGGGATCTCTCCCATCTTCTAAAAAATTGATTCTATGAGTAAATTAAAGCACCAGAATCACTTCTGCACTTTTATCCAAACACTCTAGCTTCTGGAATCAGTTTTAATTTAAGAATCAGATCCAAACACCCCTAGTGAGATAGATGAAAAAAATAAAATGTGACAAAGATATGGGGCGCAGGGAGTATTATATTATTCAATTAAAGAATCTTAAGCCTAATTAAAAAGCTATTAAGGTACGAGAATTTTCAAAACACAAGTAAAACATAACACGTTTTTTCAAAGAGGAATGTTACTCTTTAATTGCCAAATAAAATCAATTCGCAAAGCTTTTTATTCACTTGTTATTTTAGTAGGGCTATGTCCTATTTAGAAATAAAATTCCAAAAAATAATGTCGAAGTATCTGTCTCACACAAGATTAGTATGAAATAATAACACGATATCTAAAATTTTATTCTAGGTTGAACAATGAGTCTTAATATACTCCGTATATGGTATCAAAGTATGATCATATTGTGGTTTAATTGTTATGTAGCACCCATGGTTATGATTTATGATGTTGTCCAACTCGATTTGGACGAGGGCATGTTGAAACATTTGCCTCACACCAAATTAGTACATAGTACTTCGTATAAAACAATATAATAAAATATTATACGTAGTCTCTCCAAAAATATATATTATACGTAGTATATAAGTTCTTGCGAGTCCGAGTTTTAACGAATGATGCCCATAGTTGTTCCATTCGACCCACAACAATTTGCACCCTGCCTTTAATTTCTTACTCAATAGTGGTACACTCTGTGCAGTGATTTTGGTTTATTAGGTTTACATATATGGTTGTATGAAAGTTGTAAATTCTGGTTTCCGAAGAAATTATCTTAATAAAGAATATTTTGATGATATAAGTAACTTTGTATTAAAACTTTCATTTATCATCAAACTTGACATTATTGATGAAGAACGATAAAAGTTTTGTAGGAAAAATTTAGATGCATGACAGGCTAATTAATTAAGCACATACTTTTGTAATTTAAGCTTCTTTCTCTTAATTTTCTTGTTTTTAAATTTTGTGGAACGTTTAATAGAAATTTTGTCAACATCATTCCCAACAGTGTAGAAGATTCATCTAATGTGATAACTTCTTGTGCACACCAATCCCTGAATTATCTCATCAATTAGAAACTGTTTCAATTCAGATCATGTCATGACTTACTCCTTCACATCATCATTTTTGTCACATCCGATAGTGCGAGACGTTTGGGGTGGGCGAATTCACCTTTGGGTTGAAATTTATCCCATACTTAACTTATTGAGTCTACATTCATTCACACACGTTACAAAGTTCATATCAATGCCACAACAGTTTTTGATAATTATGTTGTTTTTTCATGTTGAAAGAGAGAAAAAGTAGTGTACTGTTTGAAGTTTATTCTATAACAAAAGTGAACACGGAAGATTATAAAAGTCAAACTTTTACTTTGACACGAAAAGTATTTCTCACATATGCTCATCAACCTAACTGGAGAAAAGTAGAACAGACAAGCCGCCTCTCAGTAAAAATATTGCCGCATCGAGCCATCACCAACTACAAAGGCCTTACAAATACTCCCTCCGTTTCTATTTGGTTGACACAGTTTGACTTGTGAAGATTCAAGGGGAAAAAGTTATTGAGGGGTAAATTTTACTGTAGAGCACACTGTTTGGCACTATTTGAACACTGTTTGACACTGTTTGAACACTGTTTGGCACTGTTTTGCACTGTTTAGGTAAAGATTTGTTTACCAAATAAGGAAATAAAGAAGTGTGACATTCATTTTGAAACGTCCAAAAAAGGAAAGTGTGTCAACCAAATAGAAACGGAGATCAGAGTATTAATTAAGTTGCACCGTTTTCATATTACTTTGGTTAAACACCGTATTAGTTATTTAAATATTTAGATATCTATTAGTAAAACTAAAAAATCTATAATAATATTCACATTAAAATAAATTAAATAATATTACAGTGTGATATTGAAATATATCTCAAATCAAAATGAAAATAAAAATGATGTGATTTCCAAAATAGAATGGTTACGTTCATTAATGGGATTGTGAAGAAGATACACTATCATTTTTTGTCATTATTAAACATTGATATGACTATATTAGTGTCATATGGGTAATTCACAAGTTTTCCCAATTCTTCTATCTAGAAAAAAGATGTTTTTCTTCCATCATTTCCAAGAAATGATGGAATAAAACAAAATCAGTCAATTGACTATGTTACATTGTTATATTACTCTTATTTAACAGTAGTTAGTTCACGCAATTCTCGAAGCGATTTTCATCATGAATAATTCAAAAACATTCTTTTAATACTTTAATATAGAGGTAAAGCTGCATATATCTGATTTCTTACTGTTGTAGGTGAGAGTCTTTGCATGAGCAGAGTAATGTTGTTGGTGTAGAAAAAGTACGCTTTTATCCTTTATGGAGTACACTTTTTAGTATATGAATGTTCAAAGTAAAGGAAGTATATATATTGAAGTTACCCATCCACGTTCTCATTCTTCTCCTTCCTCTTCTGACTTCAGAGTTAAAACTTAAAACCCATATATATAATTAACTGGATCATGGAGGCATATCCATCAATGTCGTCGTTTCCATGTTCATCGTCTTCTTCGATGTCGTCCCCACCGCACGCGCCTTTGAGCATGGAAGTTCCCAAAACGGAGGTGCAAAGCGAGGATCGGGAGGAGAAACCGGAGAAGAAGAACAAGTCCAGCTGCGGCAGGTATGCCTTTCAGACTAGGAGCCAAGTTGATATTCTTGATGATGGTTATAGATGGAGGAAATATGGTCAGAAGGCTGTCAAAAACAATACTTTCCCCAGGTTCATCAATCAATCAAGTACTTTTTATACATCTAATTGATCTAAAACATATATATACTTCAGTTTTATTACGTAGTATATGACTTGCTTATTTGTGACCTTTTTTAATTTGAAAATAATTAAGGATATGATAATCAAAGATTATACGTAGTATTTACCACGAAAGATAGATGAGGACATATATATGGTCCATGAGGACATATATACTCCGTATGTAATAAATATAGACTGACTTAGGGGGGATTAAAATCATTAATCAGGGCCAAAGTGGATCCAGATCAAGATAAATCTTCAGAATTAATTAAGAGAAAAACTATAAGAAAAGTTAAGTTAAACTGGATCGGCCGAAACTAACAGATACTTAGGGGGTGTTTGGCGAGTGCCTGTTGGCTGTTAGCTGTTGGCCGATTGTATTAGCTGATTGATGATAGCGGATTCTATTGACTGTTTTAAATAGCCGATACGAGTAGCAGTTTGTGAAGTGTTGTTTGGTTAAATATCTGTTTTACAATTAGCTGATAACATGTGAAATGACTTTTATGGACATAAATTAATCTTTTACTAATGTAATTAATAGAACTACTTAAAACGTTTTTTTTTTTTGCAAGAGAAAAACTTAACTCATATTAATCAAATCAAAGTCCAGAATACAAGAAAGAAAGCCCGGAGGATTAACAAACCAACTATGCATTTCAGACATAGAACAAGCAGCTTTTGCTAATACGTGGGCTGACTTGTTCGCTGAACGCTTAGCATGACTAAAAGAAATACTATCAAAATGTCTCGATAAAATTCTTATGTCTTCTGCCACCACCCCGATTACTTAAAACGTTTTTATGCTTTAGAAATGTAGTAACACAAGTTATATATAATTACCTTTCTTTAACGAATTAATAATTTTCAGATTATAATCCTCAAGTTGGATAGTCCTAGTGCACTTCCATCCTCCACTAATGGGGAATTCTACATTCGGAAAGCCTTCTCCAAATGTAATATTCCGTAGTATGGAGTACATGGGATTATGAGAACACAAAATTTCGGCCGCATATGTTTCTTGCTGAGTGAGTATCGATTACAGAAGAGTAAAGCAGTTTATCAATAATGAGAGAGATGCTCGGCTGGATAGAATAGGAAAATCAAGACAAATTCGGAAAAGCCAAACCCAAAACGCCATGTTTTTTGGCTTTTTAATTTTTGGCTGTTTGGTACAAAAAGTCAAATGGAAAAGCTAATTAACCAAACACCCTAATAGTTGATTGGTGTGGTCAAAAAGTTAAATAGTGGTCAAATCAGCCAAAATATGGCTCATAGACTGCTAACCAAACACCCCCTTAATGATTAATATAAACACCGAATAAAATCAATCTTATCTTGAGATATAGTAAATCCGTTCTCTTTTAATTGCAACATTGAACTTTTTACACTATTCACATATTTTTCTTTGACTTTATTTTATTTATTAATGTACTAAAATTAATTTTTTAAAAATAGTTTTAAACTCCTCTCATTTTAAATTTTCAATATCTTATTTTTTTATTTTCTAACTAATAAGGATTGGAATACATTAATGATCAAACTTGTGTGTTAGCAAACGTAAAACGTGGACTCCAATTAAAAAATGAATGGAGGAAGTGGGTAATATATTGAGAGCAAGTATTTGGTAGACAACCTATCAACTAATTTCTATATACTCCGTATTATTTTTGGTTTATTTTAGATATTTGATGTTTTCAGATATATTGGGGGTAAGTATTTGGTAGACAACCTAATAATAAATCGTAAATCCTAAGTCAAGCTTACAATTCACAAAATCAAGAATCTGCTCATATATCTAATACTTCGTACTACGTAATACTTAGACCCGATTTAGATATTTGACGTTATCAAATAGCTACGTACGTAGTACTCCGTGTTATATAACTATTTTCTCACAAACAATATACTGTTAATGACTATTGTATAGATTTAGTTGAGATAATTTTAACTAAATAATGAATTAGGTCAGATTTACTTAAAAATATGAGTTTTAATAGAAAAATAAATATATTGTTCTATCCACACAATAATTCTAGAGAAAATTGGGTATATGTACAAATTTAATTGTCTATCATTAAGTTAATGTTATGTATTATCAAAAATAAAATGAAATAGCCTTTTCTTGAATTACTTTCAATATTGTTTATCATTTCCGTTCCATGAATATCTAGTAAGACTACTATATCAAGTTAAAATATAGATTTTAGTTCAACATCATTGCCTCCGTATCTATTATTCATTAGTCTACTATGTGTAAATTCTATACAAAATTGCTATTTGTTTTATAAAAGAGATAATTACCTATATAGGAGTAAACAATAAAAATTGTGCACAAATAGGAATTGAACTTTCCGTGAAATTTAGTAGGAGTAAAAATGGGTAACCTGACGTAAATATCCTTAATGAAATCTGAAGCTGATATGTTTATTAATAATTTAAAGCAAAATATAGAAAACGAACTGTACAACAACAATCAACGTCACAACCCTAGGAGGCCCGTGACCACCTTCTCTGTTGCCGCCAGCCCGTCAACCATCGACGTCGTCAATGGCTCTACCACCTGCCGCCGGCACTCATGTCATCGTCGGCGCCGCCTCTTCCACAACTTGCCGCCGCTTCTTCCACCACCAATGTCACTCAGCCAAACGCTGTCACCGCCATACGCAGCCGCCGCCACCAGGCGCCTCCGCCATCAGTCAGCGCCGCCACCTTGTGTACCACCGCCGCCCGTCGCCGGATCCGCACCACCACCTTTGGCTAATCTAAAATATGGTAAAAGTGCTGTAAATATAATTGGGTCATTTAAATGTCATCTTAATGGCATTGGTATTAAAACAGAGATATGAATTTTATTGCCATCTCGGCATTTTCAAGGCATTACAAATAGTGGATTTGAAAGAAAAAAATATTGCCATCTTCATGAACCAGTTCCATCTTGATGGAATTAATGTAAAAAAATGACATTATAACTTGTATTTAATTTCCATCTTGAATTCTTGATGGAATTAATGTAAAAAAATGACATTATGACTTGTATTTAATTTCCATCTTGATGGAATTAATGTAAAAAAAAAATGACACTATGTGACAATATAATAATTTCAAAGGGAAAAACATGTCATTATTTGTAATGTATATAGAATAATATTTTTATTTTTATCTTAATACTACGTATCATAAACATTAGCTTAAAATAGAGTATGAAAATTTTAGATTCAAAAAAAAAAAAATAGTCTGAAAAGTTAAAAAAATTGATTTAAATCAAATGTAAAAAAATAATCAATACTGTACGAAGTAGAAGTTTTATAAAATGTTGAGAGAACACCCGTTGAAAAAAGAAATTGAAAGAGAAAACACAAAAATCCACAAAAACGATAAAGCAGATCTCGAAAGAGGGGAAAATGAAGCAAACATTAAATTAAAAAAATTGTTTGTAATCAAGGCAACTTCACGCTGCAAGCCTGCAATAAGACGTTGCCATTGAGTGAATTAAAAGAAGGGAGAAGAAGAAGAAAGAAGAGGTGGAAGAAGAAAAAAAAGGAGGAGAAGAGAAAGATAAAAACTTACTCATGGTGGTCGCCGGACTCGTTGTTGACCGCCGGTGGCTGGAGTTGGGAGGAAACATCTCCATTCAAACTTATTATAGTCCGCCGGAGATGAGATGGAGTTGTAGCAGATGGATAAAAGAGAATTCCGATGGAGATGAAATAATGGGAGAAGAGTCTGGCCAGAGGATAAAAGAGAGAGGAGAGAGGTAGCGTTGGAAATTAGAAAGCGGAAGGTTCAAGAAGAGTGTCTGACAGACAGAAAAGAAAGGCCTCAAAAATTAATTCAGAGTAATTGTACGGGAGGGGTAGCATTGGAAATTAAAAACGGGCCGGTCAGGTGTAACTCCTATTCGAGGAATAAATGAGGAGTAAGTCTTAGTTTGGAACTTTTACATTAATTTAGTCCTATTTGGGACAATTACTTTTTATAAAATAGAAATGGTTGCTACCAACTTTATGTATGCTAATTAATTTAAAAGGCTATATATCCATTTATGATGATGTTCAATTTTACATATAGTAAATATGATGGTATTTTAAATGACTATATAGTGAGTATTCATTTGAAATTTTGTTTATAAATCTTATTTTAATAATGTCTAGAAAAATTCTTTATTATTTTTATTTTTGATGAAAAACTTATTCCCTAAAAATATAATTAAAAAACTCCTTAATAAGAATGTTTTTACCTGGATTGAAATTTTTTGGTGTGGTCTGGCCTAGTATGATCTAGTCAGGTCTGAACTGGTCTGGTCTGGTAAGTGTTCATAGTAACTTCTCAGTTCACTGTTTTTTTTTTTTAACGAAAGTGCCTTATATTAAGATAACAGAATGTCTATCGTTATCGTTAGTCCTTGAACCGGACTTAGAATCCATCACCACCTTAGAAGCAATTAGATTCGTTGATTCTTCAGTTAGGAAATAAAACACATCCAAAATAACATGCAATTCGAAAGAAAAACACAAACAAAATAAAATGAAATTAAAACAGAATTCACTCATCTTCTTCCAAACCATAGACTCTCTTGCACTCCATGGTGGCGGCTCAGGAGGGGGGACGAGCCTTCGGAAACGTCTGCTCCATTACTTGGACTCTAATTTGCTGGTCTGGTCTGTTTAAGTCTGGTTTGGTCTGGTATGTTTAAGTCTGGTCTGGTAAACGTCAGGTCTCTGTGTATTTTATAACTACGAAAGTCAAGTCTGGACTGGTCTGGTCTGTGACTGAAAACATTTCAAGTAAAAACATCTTATATTGTAGTTAATAATAGTCATATTTGTGCAAATAAATTTTATCTTAGTAATATTTTTGACAAACCCCTTAATTTTAACCAACTCTATCTTCAATGACTTTACAATTATGGAAAACAAAAAAATGTAGTACGTAGGAGTACTACTATGTTACTCAAACAAAAAAAACATATTGATAAAATATATTGTATTATAAAATAATATTTCCTCTGTCCAAACTTAAGTTTCTTACATGCCTCTTTTGAACGGTCTATCTAAACATTCTCATTTCCATTTCAGAAAATAATTAACACTCTTAAATGACAAGTCAATAATCAAATATTAAAAAATATACTATGTAGATTTATAACATCACAATTATCATTAACGTCTTCATATCATTATGTTATATACCCATAAAAATATCAAAATATAATCTAATTGCCTTATTTGGTTATTGATTAAATAATGATACTATTTTTTATGAGAAGCTTAAATTGGGACAAATGTGTTAAGAAATAATGACTAATTTATGACCAAGATAAGGAAAATGGATACAAATGTGACTTTTTGTACAGACTAGTCATGATAATAAATTTTAATGTCTATTGCTAATGCTCAAGTATATACCATAGAGACCATGAAAACATACTCATAATTTTTTTCATAAATAAATTTGTTCAGTAATATTTTACGGAAGCATATAAAATCTTAAAGCGAAGACTGATAGAATAATAACTTATGCATGACGTTTTATATGCAGTGACCGATTACGTTTAATTTAACATTATAATAATAGCTTATATTCACAACATGTTTAGTCACATTTTTTTGGTTAGGTGTAATTTCAGCAATAATAATACAAAAGAATGATACAATTCAAGAATTTTTACAACTAACTATGTACTATTCTATTCTACAATTTATCTAAAACACTAATCATCAAACATTTATCTGCAACTTGTTGACCAACTTGCCAAGTGCCAACATAGCTCTCAAGGGCTATTATCAAATCACCTATCATATTACGCTATGGATCGGAAGAACAACTATCCACTAATCCACTATCATTTAACAATTTTATGTTTTGAGGACACCACATTAATTAATCATTTGTAGGCTCATACTTGAGGAAACTCGTCTCAAATTATCGATCGCTTCTAATTTATTGTGGAATTTTGACTTTACATCCTATTTTGAGAGTGAAAGTTTTTTAAAAATTGTGTGTGAAGTCTAATATCACTCAAAAGTGAGATGCGAAACCAAAATTCTCCTAATTTATTTCCTTTGAATCCGAAGTTTAAAAGAAATAGGCTGTAAGCTGCTGGACCCACACCCTAATGTGCCAATCTCTACTTGCTCAGACCTGAGGTCTCATCCTAAAAGGTAAATCTGATAGCTAGAAGAAGTAGTTCAAGAGCTTAATATAACACTTTAATACTTCTTAATTTACCGGTGTAGGACTTCAAACCCCTCCTCACGATCAGACGCTCTGTCTGGATCGTATCGTCATTCGTTTTTTCATCGATTTGTTATTGTCATTTTTATAACCGTGTCGTCGTTTTTCGCAAAGTGCCCATACCATGGTTATACATCGGTTTGGATCAGATAACATTTTAAGACCTGAGTTCCATCCAAAAAGAGTAACTCAATATCTTAACAACATAACACTTTAGTACTTCTCAAGTACTAGTAGCGAAATATTAATGACAACAAGATCTTAACATAACACTTTAGTACTTCTCGGGAACTCTTATAGAATTTCTTTATTTAAAACAGGATACTGTCATAGTCCATGCTTGTTTATGACCAAATTTACACGGTTCAATTCAATTTTATTACATGAAAATATTAATTCCTTTAAATGTCTGGTTTTGTTAAATACGTTTTCTTCTTTAATTAGGTTGTACACAAAAATACTGCGTATGAATATTTGTTTAAGTTGATCATTTTACTTTTGTGGATTTATATGACTTTATTTTCTTTTTGAAAGTTACAAGAATCACTTTAAAGAAAAATCATACCATTCCCACTTCTCAAACTCATGTCAAACCGAACTGCATTTTACATTTTGGGATGTTAATTGTGACGTGACTAACTCGATCTTATAGCAATACTCTAGAGGCAGAGATATGTACGATATATGGACCTTAGTTTTGAAGTCCATTCTTCTTCTTATTTCTTTCTTTGTCAGTACGCAAGGCGCCAATTCTAGTGATACAATTATCACTAGAATTTGTATTTCTACCTTGTATCTCATACTACTAGTATTAAGGATAACTTAAGAAAAAGAAGGGCACTGGGCTGAGTTGGATTGACACAAAAAATTATTTGGACAAATTTGTATACAAATTTTATTTAAAATAAATAAGTTTGGAGTTGGCCGGGGCCTAGGGATGACCCTCCCCTACTTCTGCCCCTTGAGGTGACTATGAAGTACTGGTTACTTCTCATGTGAAACACGTGAACAATTCAGAAATCCATTTTTGGCCTAGTTCTCATAATTTATAAGGAGTCTCGATATAATAATTTAATGATGAGAATAATTGGGAAAGTTCCTGAAATAAGAGTAAAAAGTTTTGGAATTCCATAACATAACTGCTATGCTTTTCTCTAGAAATAGAAGTAACATGTTAGTATTTACGGTCATCTTATCGTCATGAGTGCCATAGTAATTTCATTACTAGGCATTAACATGGCATTTTTATTGTCATTAATGACATTATTTTACAATCATGACAGTAACGACTCCTATTTCGGGAAGAAAAACATAGGAGTCCTATTTTGAAATTTCAAAACTTGTTTACTCCTATTTAGGGTAATACGAAAAAGACAATAGTAATTGTGATATGGTTATATGGTATACTCATAATACTTTGAGAAAAATCCCTAAATAAGACTAAAACAATGATAAAATTCATAAATAGGATTATCCTGTTTTTATTCCCAAAATATACGACTCCTATTTTTGGAAGTTTTAATTAACTTATTCTTTTAATAGGACTAAATAAGTCTTATTTGAGCAATAAAATATACTTAGTCCTGTTTTTGAGCTTTGTGTATGTTTTAGTCCTATATTGAATAATTTCTATAATACTTTTTATCACATTTTCCACAAATATTATTTCAGCAATAATTTAGGAAAACTATATTTTTCTTTGTATAATATAAAATAAATTAATGTTTTCTGCGTTGAATGACCTTTTTCATAAACAAATACCCATAAATATACTAGTCTCCTTTTTATTTGCAACAGTGAATTTCACATTTGCTAATATGCAACTAGGACCATTGATATATTTAATTGTATATAAGCAAAAATTAGAAGAAAAACAAATTGGAATTTTGAATGAAGGAAAACTTCATAATATATTTTATATAAGATGATTTTTATATGTAGTATACAAAAACTTAGTCAAATAATGTGTCTGAATAGTTCAAAAGTCAAGGTGTTGCAATTAGTAAAGAATGTAGTATATGTGTTCTATAAAGAAACATTTATTATATTATATAATACTAATCATATAATAATGCATGTATGTTTTGTTATTATAGGAGCTACTATAAGTGCACACACCAAGGATGCAATGTGAAGAAACAAGTTCAAAGGTTGTCTAAAGATGAAGGAATTGTTGTGACAACCTATGAAGGCGTCCATTCCCACCCAATTGAGAAATCCACAGATAACTTTGAAAACATCTTGAGTCAAATGCAAATCTACGCCACTTCACCTTTTGATTCATTTTACCAAAATTAGACCATCGTGAATCTCCCTCGTATACGAGGTGTGCATTGTAATATAGTGTCATTTATGCATGGTCAAGTTCCGGTACGGTTACATGAGCTATATATGCATACGGGGTGTCATGTCATATCATATGTATTTAGTGGTACAAATTTGTAAAATAATTGAAAAATGATGAATATAACTGAGATTCTAAGGAGCCGTTATATAAGAAGCGACTTAGAATTATTGAGATTCTCGAAGTAGGAATGTGCCCATTTCTTTAGTTTTTAGTGATTATAATTGTATTAAATTTACATCATAGTGACAATAAAATTTACATATGGCAACTACTTATAGTCACACTTTTATTGATAGTTTCTTTATTAGTATTTTTTTTTCTGAAAAAACCTCAATGTAAATATATAGATGCTAAATAAACATATATGTACAGCCTCTTTGGGGCATACACACCTGACTACGTAAGCAAAAACCATATAATTAAAACAAAGTTTTGTTTTAAACATGAAAGTATTGAAGTAGCAACATCAGTAAATTGTAATATGAGTACCGTAATACAATAATCACGACTAGATCAGAGGATGCCTCAAGCACATGTATTACTTGCAAATTAAACATGAAAGTATTGAAGAAGCTTGAGTAAATTGTATTACATTTCCTACTATTCAAAATGTGTAGACTACATAAAAATACAATCAAATAGCCTTTTTAAGGAGCCTAACGCCTCCATATTCCTTCTATTGAAGCATTTAACAACACTTTTGGTATGGGGGGCAACAACCTCCCCACTCTATGCCTGTCACATATGTGTCTCCATATTATCCCAGCCACTACACATTGAAAGAAAATGTGTTCATGTCCTAATGTTGTGAATAACAAAAATTACCGTTTATGTCAATTTCCAAGTGTAGTAGCGCATCTTTAGTAGCTAGCCCGATTCCATATCATACATAACAAATCCATGAAGTAAATCTAGATGTTGTGGAATGAATCTTTTCAAAATAAAAAGTGTACATGATTTTCCAATGCCTTTGACTCTCAAGAGACCATAGATCTTACATAACTTTCCCCCATTAGACAAGAAACTCAAATCAGAAGTTGTCTATGTAATGCCTCCAAAACTAGTGACCAGAGTGGTTCGGATATTAGCTACCTTTAATTTCTATTAAGTAGGGGATACCCTAGTGTTAGGTTCCCACACCGACATAGTAGTATTCTATAAGTAGATTTCATGCACCCACTTCACCCACAAATAATCTTTTTACATGTATATTTGAGAGATTTTTTGTCAAAGGCCTTTGCACGCCTTGTAGTCCTTCATCCTAAGGTCACCCTCCTCCCTAGGTTACAAATATAACTTCAACCACTCTTACTCATCTATTATCCCAAAGGAACCGTTCGCAGAGAGACTTAATTTTCTCACCAATGGCCATTCAAATTTAGCGAAAAGTACTCCACCCCTTTTATTATTACCTTGATTAACTATAAGTTCCTTGCATATGAACACATTTTAGATTTTCACGTGAGTAGAAATACATCAAACTTCTATAGGAGAAATATATGGTCCCCTTGTTTGACTTCTCTCTTTCCTTCAAAGAAAGCATGTAGCAGAGACAAAAAAGAAACACTCGAGACACAGTTCATAATCCAATTTGCAAACTCCCTCAAAAATAAAAACAAAAAACAGAAAGTACATATATTTTTTTAAAAACTATATTGACAACATTTTTTATTAAATTGGTCTTGATAAAAACACTATGAGATACCTCACTTCCTCAAATATCCTCTTATTGGCTCTTGACAAAGGAAAATGTTGCCTTTAATGAGCGTGTTTGGCATTCAGCGGTGATCAGTTAGCGGATAGCGGATTATGTTAGCGAGTTATCAATAGCAGATTCAGTCAGTGGGTTTGACTAGCGGAATAAGTTGGCGAATTCTCAGAAGATGTTTGGTAATTTAGCTGTTTGGCCATAAAATTAGTAGAAAACGTCATATTTCAAAATGATAACCCAAAACTCTCCTATTTGCAGCGTGTCACGCCCCGAACCTCACCGGACACGCTAACAACTACCGTACAATCTAGACAAGTCAACCGCGGTCAAACTTACCCAAACCTTACAAGGCATAATGAATATCATACACATATAGTCATCCATAAACAAACATAATAAGCAATTCGATACACAGCGGAAAGTACAACTTAAAACCAAATGCCACATGGGGCAAACATGAGCATGCAGGCTCTAAAGTAAATTATCCAGGAGCCAGTTTATTATTGTTCAAAAACATAATGGAGGAAGCACGAACCAAGTCTTTTCTCCAAGATGGTCACCAAAGCAACGGGCACAAGAAGCAAGCCCTAGCAACATGAAATGGTGGTGGGATGCCCCCGAAGGGATCAATACATTCCAGAAACTATAAAGTATGGGTGTGGATGGAATCTAATAGATATACAACAAGTATTTCAAGCACAAGACCCTCAAATAGGGTGATAGTATAATCTAGGCCGTATCCCCAAGTTACCCCGTTTGAAAATATACTTACTTTAATTATATGAAGTCAAGTAGTCGGCTCGTGGGCCTATATTCATTTTGAAACCACCTTCTCTATTCCCCGTGACTTCTAGTCACGACAATCATAGAGTTCAACCCTAGTACATCATCTTGCATTCATAGAGCTTGGCTCTAGTACATCACCATGCAAACCATATGAGTCAAATCCAATACATCACCATTGCATTTCTAGAGCTCGACTTTATTACATTATAATGCAATCATAGATCTCAGCTCTAGCTCAACAACATACAAATCATAGAACTCAAATGTACTATCTAACCATGCATTCCTAGAGCTCGGCCAATGTTCTAAAAGGCGCTAGGCGCTAATCGGACGCCAACCCAGCGCCTAGCGCCTAGTCGGGTAGGCGGGCGCCTAGGTGGGGACTAATCAGAGACATCAAAATTGTAGTTTTATCAATACTTTTACATAAATATGATTAGTAATGTTGTGTTTGCGTGTGTATAAAAAATATATACACACACATTCACATTAACATGCATGAATGATAGAGTTATCACATTTAATAATATATTATATCTACTCACTTATTCACTAGTAGCTTTCTTCCCATGCATCGTCAAAGTTAAAGGTGCATATTTCTTAGGATACTAAAATAAAAAAAGCAAAAACAAATTGTTCGATGAATCTAGACGCCTAGGCGGCCCATTAAGCGCTCTGGGCGGGCAACTAGGCGCCCTAGACGGCCGACGAATTCACCTAGGCCCCGATTCAATTAGTCGGAGCGCCTAGACCAAAATCGGGGCGCCCGACCACCACCTAGAGCGATTTTTAGAACAGTGAGCTCGGCTATATTACATCACCATGCAATACATAGCCCAATTCCTAAAATCATATGCTTAGAATTGACTTATCAATACATCACTTAGGGTCATCCTTAAGGATTGTCCATAACTTAATCTTAGCTTCAAACTATATCAATTTACACACTTGAAGTACATCCAAGTGTAATACATAAAATCTAAACCTTAGTATCAATTCTACCATCAATTACAAACAATCATTAACTAGTATTCTCAACACTATTAAGATTATTCATATTGACCAAATATTCATATACGTGTATCCCAACATATTTAGAGATGTGTGGCAGCTACTCAAATGTTCAATTTTAATATGTAAACATTCATTTATATATCCATCCAATCCATACATGAGTTAGAAATGCCTATTTTAACATAATAGTCCATTAGTAGCTCATTTAGCTCTCTATTTTAACAATATAGTCCATATCATAATCATATTCATTCCTTACCATTTATATCCATATTTCATCATTAGTTAGGCATCATAATACATGAAAACATGATTTAGACATTTTGGTAATCTCATGCTTAACATACAAGTTGTAAGAAATTAGATGCCAATCCTTACCTCAAATGAGTTTCAAACTTCCCTCTTTCAATCCAATAGTCAAAGCATCGGACAAGGGAGGTTTGATACTGATTCCTTGTCTAAAAATGGTTGCTAGACATCCTCCTTCAAGTGGTGGTTCACCCATTGCATTGGCAAGAGGTGTGGAAACAGTCCCTTAGAAGGGGTGTTTCCGGTGAATTCACCTCCTAACCTTTCAAGGTTTCTTCTAGGTTACTATATAACGCTTAAATCCATAAAATGGCCTTATTAAGAACCTATTCTACACCTTTAATTGTGTATAATAGTCTCTTCAATCGTTCAAATGATTTAGACAATAGAATAAAAGCTTTTAGGTTCGAACTTACACCAAAGAGGAAAATCAGTTTTACGAGTTTGTGTCTTTCTTCGACGATTTGAAGACCCATTTCGTCGCAATATGCACATCCTCGGATTCCTGTCTTGAAATATTTCTTTATACGCATCACAAGACTATTTTGGATGAGTTTACCTCGAGATATGGAAGGAAACATCAACCTATATGCAGCATGTGACTGCAGTACGAAGGTGGCCCCTCTAATGTCTCCCTCATGAATCAAACGCACTCCCAATAAAATTACCGACACCCTTTGAATAATTGCACTTCTAAAGGTGTATTATTTTCTCAAGACGGATTGGTTTAGTCCCCCTAATGTGTGGTACCAAAACTAAGAAGGAAAATGTCGAAGGCACCATAGGGGGTTGTCCATTGTTTTGGTCTTTTGTGCATTATTAAACCCCTTTAGTTATTTGTCCTCCCCAAATATAATGTATGACCATCTAATCTTGTTTTCCAAGTTTCTAAGGCATTTGAGACGTTCCCCAAGTGGTACCAATTAATTTGGGATCAAATATCTACCAATACTTCCAAAATGGAAGAATGTATCCTAATGTTTTGTCTTTTATCATGTGATGTCTTTTTGTACTCATTCTAATTTCTTTAGACATCTTCAACCTTTTACATCATATTATTGGTCTTTAATAGGTGTAGGATGGTCCCAATAATTTATATCCTACTATATACAAAGCAAAGTGGAAAATTGGCAAGTTTTCCCGCCCAAATTGTCGGGTCATTTTATGGGTGGGCTTTGGAGAAATGGGTTTGTTCTTTTGCTGTGAAAAAAGTACTGGTACAAATTAAGAAACATATTGCAATTGATGAATTAAAATAATCCAAAAATTAAAAAAGGTACAAGGTAAGATGCTTCTCGAGATGTGCTCGACTAGTACAAATTAAATGCCATATAACTCTTTAACCGAGACACGTTACAAATCTTCATTTTCTGTAGAAGCATTTTAAAAATTCAGTTTGACCATGGTCCAGTGTAGCAAAAAAGCTCTTACCCGTGCAAAAAACAAATATTGCTTGGGT